TGTTTGTAAAACCAGGAGCCAAAAAGTTCAACTTCTGAACTAAATAGGAATGTTAAGAAAGCAAGATATTCCATTGCCCCCCCAAAAAATCTTCTTTAAAAATGCCATTCAGTCAAAATTTAAAAGGATATGAGCTTGGATTTGAAAGTCTGTTCCAGTGAAAGTGATGAAGCTGCCTTCTGAATTAAACATGCATTAAACTGGATTGTTAGTCTAGCCTTCTGATAATGGCAGCTGTGTTACGCACACTGCCTTGAGAGTAGTACCCACAAGACAGAAGAGGTAACTGTGGCTAGCTCTTAAGCCCACATTTTCTTCATGGATCCCCCCCCCATCCATCCCCAGTTTTCATTTGTGTGGTTTACTGTGCAGATTGATCGCCTTTATCTGGTTAAAATATATCACACAAGCAAGACATTTGCCTGCCCCCAAGTGTAGAAAAGAATTTGTTTATGTTCAGGAATTACTGTTAAAATGTCAGCCAGGGAAGATATAAGATGCACTATTGTATTCATTTAAATATTTATAAACCATTTTCTGGGCCAAATCCTGGCTTCTTTCTTAAGATTAGACAGGCACAATGAAGTGCTCAAAGGCAGATGCTTGTAGAACAATGATAGTCAAGTATAAAAAACAAGGATGTTCCTTAGTATCAAGGGAAACCATCAAAGCTTGAAAACAAGTTACTTTTTTTGGAATTAACATCACCCACCCACCATGGAAGTCATAATCCAGAAAGCAGCAGTTCAGAGCTCTGCAAACAATTAGCGCTTTCACTGCAAAAATACGTTAATGAAAATATGTTGTGTTTTGTTCTTTGGTTGATGTCTCAGGTAGCTTTCACTTTATCATGTGCTAAAACATGGTAACTCTTTGGAGAGCTGTTGTTGCTTGAGATAATTTGCAAAATGAACAAAATGTCACACCATTATTATTTAAGCTTTCTGTTGTGAGCTTAATATTAATTAATATTACTATTACTATTTCAAAGTGCTTCCTGTTGCAATTACAATAAAATAGAAGTTCGTACTGATATTTATTTTATTGATTTGGTTTTGTTTGATTTGATTTGTCGAGCCTTTTGTATGCTGCTTATTAAGCAATCCTGGCAAAGTAAGTTTGTGTCTTTATAACATCCAGAAATTGTGACATTCATTTCCTATCAATGAATTCTTTTCCAAATATGGCTACTGATTCACCCCCTAATATTCTATTCCATTGCCAAGGGCTCTGCTTCTATGCACCCCTCCAAAATGGCTAGCAGTGAAGTATGGCATCAGGTAACAATGAGATGGCTTCTTTGATAAGTGAGTTGTGGGATTTCATTACTGTCCTCCCTTCAGCGGCTCTAAACAGGAGAGTGGGAACAAGGGTCTAATAACTGAATGTCTTGGATTTTGTTGCTACCACTACCCTTAAAGCAGGAAGAGGCTGCTTGTTGTAAACAGCCCTTCAGCAAAGTGGCAGATCAGCATGAGATGACACAAAATATGGGCCATATTTAAAGAGAAGGGGAGCAAAATATGAGAAAGGGAGCAGTTGTATTTGCCAAACATTCCCTTTGGATAAGTGATTGTGGCTTGAACTCAAGACTCCACAGTTGCAAATCAGAGCTCTGCTAATAATATCATGCAGCATGTGAACATGTTAAGTATTTGGAACATGTTGCCGCTTCAGTTAGCATTAATCTTGAGAATGGTGATATGGCTCTCAAGGTGAAATCTCTCCCAAGATAAAAGACAACCCACTGCCCCATCTATTGCAGAGAGCTTTATGCATTAAATTGCTACAGTATGATTAATAATTGTACTACTACTACTATTGTTATTATTATTATTTCTGCCTCATTTATCCCAACAAGGGACCCAAAGTGGCTCACAACATTAAAATTCACACAATTTAAAAATACAATAAGTTAAATATTAAAAGATAAATTAAACAATATATGATTTAAATTACAATTAAAAGATTAAAACTTGAAAACATAAATAAGATTGAGGGGAGGGGGTTCATTTCTTGTTTGTTGGGGTTTTTTGTAGTGTATTAATGTGTGTTTTGTAGTGTATTAATTCAAATAAAATGTTAAAAAAGATTGAAAATTCTGCTAAAATTGGGTTCAGGGATTCAGTTATAATTGTTAAAAGCCTGCCTGAAGAGATGGGTCTTTTGCTTTTTTCAAAAGGATAAAAAGGAAGGAGCCATCCTGATCTCCTGAGGGAGAGTATTCCATAGCCTGGGAGCTGCCACAGAGAAGGCCCTCTTCCATGTCCCCATCAGCTGTGCTTGTGCTGGCAATGGCACTGAGAGGAGGGTCTCCTCTGCTGATCTTAATCGCCAAGAAGGAGCATATAGGGAGATACAGTCCTTCGGGTAGCCTGGACCCAAGCTGCATAGGGCTTTATAGGTAATGACCAGCACTTTGAATTGGGCCCAGAAACGGACTGGTAGCTAGTGCAGTTCTTGTAACAGGTGTGTTATATGCTCCCTGTTGCTGGCCTTTGGGCTACAGTAAGATTGGCTATAAGAAACTGGGGTCACTTAGATGCTGAATAAATTGAATCTATTTTAATTTAAGTCTCAGGTACCAGAACAGAATTGGGAATCTCTGGCCTTCTAGATGTTTTGAACTGCAAGTTCCATGAGCCTTTTCCATTGCCTGTCCTGGCTCAGGCTTCTGGGAATTGAAAACATCTGGAAGTCCAAAGATTTCTCAGCATTGTACTAAAATCTAAATGAAATACTGTTTTCCCATGAGTCATTGCTAGCTGATTTCTAGCATAACATGATGACATGTATGATCAGTTTTATAGGAAACAAAAGTACATAGCAAGATTCTGTCCTTGAGTGTAAAATGTGCGTACATTAGTGCCTTGCATAGCGACGTTAATCGGTGCAGCAAAAATCGCTGCTAAGCGATTTTGTCGCTATGCGATTTAAAAAAGCTCATAGGAATACATTGAAACCCCTTCAATACGTTCCTATGGGCTTAAAACTGACCTTTAAGTGAAGATCCTCCATACGGCAGCCATTTTCGCTGCCCGGTAACTGAGGAATCCATCCCCAAACACAGCGGGCGGCCATTTTTTTACCCAGCAGCCATTTTGGAACCACCGATCAGCTGGGAGAAAATCATCGCTTTGAGATAATCGGTAAGCGAAACAGGGAACCAATCATCGCAAAGCGAAAAAACCCCATTCAGAACATTGCAAAGCGATCGCAAAATCTTCATCGCTATGCGATTTTGTCGTTAAACAGGGTGCCCATTAAGCGAGGCACCACTGTATCTCTAGCTGAATGGCTCCTCATTTGGCCAGCTGGGAGCCCATGGGGTGACCTCATTTCGTGATTGAAGAGGACAGTAGGAATAGTTGAATAGTGTATTTTGATAGCTGTGGTCTACCTGGAAGCCCTCAAGCTTTCAGCATTCTATCTGATTGTCTCCATAGCATTGGACAGTACTTTATGCTTGTTTTCTTTTCTCATCCAGATAGTACAACTGTACATGCACTTAGCTGTATTGAAAAAAACAATAGCCATTAAGCAACCACAGAAATCACTGATTTATTTTGATGTCAATGTTTATAGAATAGAGTCCACTTCACATATCTGTCTTTCATAATATGGAAAATAACCAGTGCAACCATAGCAAATAGGACTGCTGTATACAAAGTGCTTCCCAGTCATTATGATACTTCAAGCAGCCGTTCTTCCTCTTCCACTCTTACTATGGTATGTGCAAAGGCATACAAAGCTTCAGGCAACCTTGAGCTGGAAATCTCTTTCTTTGTGCTACACCTAACTATGGTAAGGCTAGCTCTGATGCACTTTTCCATAAACCATATATTTTGGAAGTTAATTTTTGAATACATGTTCAGCTTATCAAAGAAATGCTGGGAAAAATGTTTACTGAAGCATTTTCTTCATATACAGTAAAGGCCAAAGAGGGGATGTGACAGTCAAGGTCAAAATCCTCAGATAACACTCAATTATTTATTACTCAGCTTATAGTAACAGCGGGTAGTTCAATATGTTAATGTCAAGTAGACTCTGCCTCCCTTTTATTGACTCTAAGTAAAATCAGGGAGAAAGAGCTGATAATGTGAATCGAATGGGGAATATTGAGCGATTCCTTGTTCTTGGCCAGGAACAGATACATTTCATGAAAAGAAAGATCAGCTACAAGATGTCTCATTTTAATAATTCAGAGAAATTCCAAATACTAGGTGATATCTCAACCCCAATTATAACCAAAGGAGACTGGACCTATGCAATGTGATAGTGTTTAGAAATTGCTTAAACTATAAAGATTCCCAGATGCATCCAGAGGGATAGTGGTCCAGGCTAATTTCTCAAATAAGTACATGGGTGAGAAAAGGCCAGTGTTTAGTTGAAAACAGTTCTGGCTGTGGCTTGAAAGGATTTGTGGTGAATATGTATAACAGTCAGCCTAAAGGTCTTTGCAGTATAAGAGAAAGGAAGTACAAATCAGAGGAATGGCGAGCAGAAAGAACACAACTACTATCCCTGTTCCAGAAGTATTCATGAAGCACTACCAGGAGAGTCCATGTGATCTGTAATAGATTCTACAGCTATATTTGTTATCAGAAAAACCATGTGTACTTCCCTAAATCTCATTTTATTTCAGTTTTGTTATTTGATTTGTGTTGTAGCTATGTTTCCAAAACTGGGACCCAGGATAGATCACATGATAATTTTTTTTTTAAAAAAAGATTTCTTCAGACCTGCTTCTTGTTCCATTTGGCTTTTGTAGTGATGTAGGCCCTGAGATGCTTGTGCCACAATTTTGATCCTTCGTATTGCCCAGAGTCACCCGCCGGTTTCTCATCATCCCATTTCCAAGGCCAGCAATCAAGTCATGATACTTGCTGGTGCTCACACTTTGAATACACATTCCCGTCTGCTTTGTAAATCTTATCAGGTTTATATGTTTGGTGTGAGGTATCGGTGCCGTTCATCATCAGATTTCTTTTTTTCTCCAGGTCTCCTTGTGGGAACTCTTGATGTTGTGCTGGATTCAAATGCAAGGGTAGCCCCATACCGAATTCTATACCAGGCTCCAGACTCTATGATATACTGGACTATTGCCTGTGGTAAGTAGTTAGACTATGATAAAAAAAAAAGTATCAGTTTGCTAAATTTAAAAAGCCGGTCGTCGTTTTAGCCAGGATTCTGTAATTACCAGACTGGAAAGATTGATTTAATCTTAAATCATTTAATCCCATCACATGTTTGTTTTGCAATATGGATGGTCTGCCACCTATGTGTTGGTAACTGTAAGGATGGGTGTGCCTTACATTGGCCTGTTTTTGAGACTGATTCAGACACTGCAGCTAGTGCAAAATGAGATAACCATGCTATTCAGTAGAGCTCTCTGCCATACACAAACGACCCCTGAGCCAAAAGGATTAGCACTGACCACCAGCTACTTGTTGAACTATGCTCAAAGTCTTATAAAGCTCCAAGTATCTCAGAATGGGGTCATCTAACAGGATGTTTATGTTCTGCAAAGGAGACCTTGCTGATCGTACCTTGACTGGAATCCTGTTTGCTTATGTGCTTGTGTGAGGACAACTGTGTGAGTGTTTTGCCCTCTCTGGCAGGCTCTCTGTGGTACGAGCAGGCAAGCACTGATTGTGAAATCAGTCACATAGCTGATTGTACAACATGGATTATGCCTGAGGGGAGAAAATGCTCTGTGATTTCTTTATGTGTGAAACATTAGAAGGATGTTTGCCCTTGGCTAACTGATACGTAATTGGTAGAGGCACAGAATAGACCCTTTGCATTGTGTATCCATCACGTGGAAGGACTTTCCTCAAAAAAATCAAGCAGGCTCCCAGTGTGACGTATTTCTGCTAACAACTTAAAACTTATTAGTCTGCCTAGGCATTTTCTGACTTCAGTACTGCCAGCTGCCCAAGATAATTGTGAATGGACAATTTTACTGCTTAATTTGTTTTATTATATTTTCTAATCAGTTTAACTTAATGGATTTACATTAAGCTTTTTTGTAAACATGAAGTATGTACATTTTAATAAATCATAAATAATACATCTTACTGTTTTGTAATACAGGCACTGGAAACTGGTAAGTTTATTCTGAGTGATGAATCTGATATTGCGCAGATGGAACATTTGTTTGAGAATGGGGCCATCAACTCATACATTTTTTTTTCTTTTCCTTAATGTTCTCTCTCATAAGAACTCCTTCCTCTTTTCCCTTGGCAATATGAACTGTGGTGTATACCTGTATCTACCTAGATGATAGTCATGGTTCATTCAAATGGTGATTAGTGTTAAACAGATTTTGCAAAACAGCTCTCAACCATTGGTAGAGATGTATTTCTTTAACACATATATATATGCTGCCTGTCATCATACTAGATTTCAGAACAGTGCACAGCTTCCAAATATCCAAGCTGTGTGCCTTTCTTACTTCTGACTGAGTATATCATGAATCATGTGAACCCTTTTCTTTTGAGGAAAGAGGAATTATAGGCTTACTTTACTTAAAATGTTAAGTGCAGCTATAAGTAAGATAAATTAGATCAGCTTTTTTCCTCATTTGATTCTATAGCAATGCAGTGTATTTTTCATTTAGAGATACAACATATCTGTAGTAAAAAAAGAACCCAAAAATCTTTTAAATTAAGTCAATGAATGCCTTTTGGGTATCTCTCGTTGAATGTACATTATTTTGTATTTGTATCTGCAGTGATTAATTTGTTTTCAAAATTAGTTTCCTTAAACTGGAGTTGCACTATTTGTTATTTTAAAAAATGACCCAATGGATAAGATGACCCCCCCCTTTCTAATCCCCACATTAGAAAATTTTCACGATCACACCCATTTGTTCCTGAAACCAGTATAAATTGGGCTGCTTCAGGATCAAAGAAGTGCGATCCTGCCATCTTTCAGGACTGCTTTACTCACTTCCTAAGCCTTTTCATGGGTGCTTCACAATCAAAGGGGTGCGATCCTGCCGCCCTTTCTGGCTGCTTCAGGATCAAAGGAGTGCGATCCTGCCACCTTTCACAGCTGCTTTACTCACTTCCTAAGCCCTTTCATGGGTGCTTCAGGATCAAAGAGGTGCGAGTGTGCTGCCCTTTCATGGCTGCTTTACCTACTTCCTAAGCCCCGCAGGGCTTAGGAAATGGGTAACGCAGCCATGAAAGGGCAGCACACTCGCACCTCTTTGATCCTGAAGCCCTTTCCTGGGTGCTTCAGGATCAAAGGGGTTCTTTGCAATAGGCAGGGAAAGCGGCTGCCTTTTGTGTATAAAACAACCCTCGATTTTTTTGTCTAATTATTTAAGTTAAAAGGGTCATTTTATACACAGAAAAATACGGTACCCCATCTAGATCATGTGCTTACTGCCTTATTTATTCATTCATTAATCATATATTTACCCTACCTTTAACAAATTGACATTTATTGAAAAGAAGTTCACCTCTTTTACTGTGATCTTACCATGTGACCACGGAAAGATTGTCTTCGGACAAAACGCTGGCTCTATGGCTTGAAGAGCGGGATGAGCGCCGCCCCCTAGGGTCGGACACGACTGGACAAAAATTGTCAAGGGGAACCTTTACCTTTACCTTTAACCATGCATAGGTTTCTAGCATTGTTAGATACAGGTATTCAAGTGCATACTCAAGACCATTTGGAGCCTGCTTGACCTTAATTTTTTTCACATATGTAGTGGGTATACAATTGTTGTTGTTCTTTATTCGTTAAGTCGTGTCTGACTTTTCGTGACCCATGGACCAGAGCATGCCAGGCCCTCCTGTCTTCCACTGCCTTCTGAAGTTGGGTCAAATTCATGTTGTTTGGTGAAATTCATGTTGTTGGGTATATAATACAAAGGGCCTATTTTGTGTCCAAAAATGGATCAGTTAGACCAGGTCAAAAGTCCTTGTCATGTTTTACACATACATAATTGCATAATTGCAGATTATTTGCTTTCTCACACATTTCTTGAGGGCCAGTTTTCCACATAGTTTGAAATGGCAACTTTGGTGAAATGTGAAGAGCTGTGAAAAATCCTCTCAAGGCAGCAGCGATCACTGTCTTGACTGATTTATGCAAATTGCAGAGAACATGCAATCTGTGAATGGAATGCATCTACAAAATTGGGCATTTTGTATTTGTGTAAATCCAGTGTCCTTTCTCCACAAAAAGCCAGGTGCATACACACACAGCAAGCCCAGAAAAATCCAGTGCTCCTGATCAGTAAAAATCTACACATGGTGGCAGCAATGATGTTGTAATAATTTGTTCAAATAGCATTAGATGGCAGGTTGCTCAAATATCTTTCACTGTCTTCCAAATCCCCCAAATCTTCTCGGCTTGCTTGCACAGTCTAGCATGAAGCCTGTCTACAATTTGGCCCTTGTTGCATTGAAAGTTATGAAATTAGTTTTAATGGAAAAATTCACTGCCCCCACAGCTGAGCTATCAGAATTCCAGTATAAATTTGTTCTGTAATAGCTGGCTTCCTTTTTATTCAGTAGTTTAATAATCATAATGAATCTCTTAGCAACCCCCCAGCCATGCTGATTTATGGAAATATGTGTTATGTTAACTAATAATACCATTTGATATGTTTACTATGTGGGGTTTCATGATTTATAACTATTTTATGGTTTTGTGTATTGTATTTTATTAAATATTAAATAAAATATTAAAAAAGAGATACAGTTATGAAATTAGTCTATTTTTAAGGTGAGAGGTTGCTGTAAATATCCCTGCCAATATGCTCCTCCTTCAGTATAAACCAAGCTGGGGAGGGGTGGTCTCATTAAATGATGGTGGAGGATAAACATAATGTTCCGTGGTGGCTCATATGGGTGTTGAGATGGCTAGGTAGACAATACTGGAACCAGGCAAAGAGTACAAAAGAAGACCATAAGGGCTAGTACTAGAGTGCAGAGAGGAAGAGGCGTTTGAGTTAATTGTCTATTTTTGCCATATTGCTCAGCTTCAAAATGCAGAAACAAAATGATTTTGATATATAGAAATGCTGTATTATAACCTCAAGCATAATTATCCATGACTCAGAAGTAATTTAAAAGATGAATGCAGAACAGATATGATGATAGTGCAATAATACCACATTTTTTATTCTCCACCAGAGAGCTAATTTTATTTATTTATTTATGGCTTCTCTTTCGAGTGATTTTGATTTAAATGCAATGCCCATATGTTACTTCACAACTCTCTGTAGCTATGTAAAAGCTACTGGAATAATAACTTGGCCTTTGAACCCCATCTGTAATCATAACAATTCATTTTCATAGCATAATCTCAAGCAAAGCACAATGTGATGATCATATATGAGCCTTTGCTCCTGTTGCTTAAATTACGTAGGCTCTCAAGATTTGTGTTCAAAGTGCAGTGCAGAAATACAGGGAAGCTGCAGAAAAATGATCTCATTCTTCATCAGCTGAACAGGGTTTTGAGATAAGCTTATGCTTCCAATTTCATGGTAATAATTTCTCTACTCTGTTAGCTTTATAATATACTGCATGGGAAGCAATTTGATTTGCGCACTGCATGTTGCTATGGCTTTCTGACACTTGCTATAACAAAGCCTGCAGTTGATTTACAGAATATGTATTGTAACATTTTATTAATGCAGCAATTACAGTATCTTTAAGTATGTTTTAGCTGAAGGTAAGCATATTTTAAATGCTTGGTAATTTAAAGAATGAGGTTTATGCATAGTGTATTTGCTGGTATGGAGAAAGGAATGGCTATGTTGTTATTTCCTCTATGCCCTCTTTTTTTTCCTAATCAAGGATCCTACATGAGTAGCCTTAATTTCCACATTTTTTAAAATATATTGTGTACATAATGATAATTAAGTTTAAGCATGTTAATTTAAAAGAGATTAGAACAGTCTAATCTCTGGTATTATACTGAATCTCCATTTCTTAGTTTGGTAAAAACATAAAGCCTCTGTTAGCAAATGTTTGCAGTAGGTGTTTGGCAGTCACCGTACAGCTGTTGATCATGCCTCAGTGTACGAAGTAAGATTAAGAGAGGCAACCAAGCTTTGTAAAAAAAAAAAAAGCTAAACGTCTAGTCTGAAGCAAAAGAACGATCATTTTACTAAAGTCTAGTATAGGTCAGCTTTCTTTATGGTCTAGCTCTTGCTTCCATATATCAGTACAGGAAAAACCATAACTTCGACTATGCAGACTTTTGTCGGCAAGGTGATGTCTCTGCTTTTTAAGATGCTGTCGAGGTTTGTCATTGCTTTCCTCCCAAGAAGCAGGCGTCATTTAATTTCATGGCTGCTGTCACAATCTGCAGTGATAATGAAGCCCAAGATGGTAAACTCTGTCACTGCCGCCATATGTTTCCCTTCTATTTGCCAGGAGGTGATGGGACCAGTGGCCATGATCTTAGATTTTTTAAATGTTGAATTTAAGACCATTTTTCCGCTCACCTCTCTCACCCTCGTTAAGAGGTTCTTTAGAGACCATTTTTTGCGCTCACCTCTCTCACCATCATTAAGAGGTTCTTTAAGTCCTCCTCACTTTCTGCCATCAGAGTGGTATCATCTGCATATCTGAGGTTGTTGATATTTCTTCCAGCAATCTTAATTCCAGTTTGCTCCTCCAGTCTGCCCTTTCGCATGATGTGTTCTGCATATAAGTTAAATAAGCCGGGGGACAATATACAGCCTTGTCGTACTCCTTTCCCAGTGTTGAACCAATCAGTGTTTCCATATCTAGTTCTAACTGTTGCTTCCTGTCCCACATATACCGTAGATTTCTCAGGAGATAGATAAGGTGGTTAGGCACTCCCATTTCTTTAAGGACTTTCCATAGTTTGCTGAGTTCTACACAAAGGCTTTTGCATAGTCAACGAAGCACGTTTCTTTAAAGACTTTCCATAGCTTGCTGTGGTCCACACAGTCAAAGGCTTTTGCATAGTCAACGAAGCAGAAGTAGATATTTTTCTGGAACTCTCTGGCTTCCTCCATCATCCTTCGCATGGATTGATCTCTAGTTCCTCTGCCCCTTCTAAATCCAGCTTGTACTTCTGGGAGTTCTCGGTGCACATACTGCTGAAGCCTGCCTTGGAGGATTTTGAGCATAACCTTGCTAGTGTGTGAAATGAGTGCAATTGTGCAGTAGTTGGAGCATTCTTTGGCACTGCCGTTGTTTAGGATTGGGATGTAGACTGATCTTTTCCAATCCTCTGGCCACCATTGAGTTTTCCAAACTTGCTGGCATACTGAGTGTAGCACCTTAACAGCGTCATCTTTTAAGATTTTAAATAGTTCAACAGGAATGCCATCACCTCGACTGGCCTTGTTGTTAGTCATGCTTTCTAAGGACCACTTGACTTCACTCTCCAGGATGGCCGGCTCAAGGACCGCCGAGGAATTGATGCTTTTGAATTGTGGTGCTGGAGGAGGCTCTTGAGAGTCCCCTGGACTGCAAGGAGAACAAACCTATCAATTCTGAAGGAAATCAACCCTGAGTGCACACTGGAAGGACAGATCCTGAAGCTGAGGCTCCAGTACTTTGGCCATCTCATGAGAAGAGAAGACTCCTTGGAAAAGACCCTGATGTTGGGAAAGTGTGAGGGCAAGAGGAGAAGGGATGGCAGAGGATGAGATGGTCGGACAGTGGCATCGAAGCAACCAACATGAATTTGACCCAACTCCGGGAGACAGTGGAAGACAGGAGGGCCTGGCGTGTTCTGGTCCATGGGGTCACGAAGAGTCAGTCATGACTAAACAACATCAACAACAGTATAGGTCACATGAACCTGGTCAAAATGGAACAAATCCATAGATGGCTGAAATATTTTTTATTTTATTTTATTTTATGACTTCTACTCCGCCCATCTAGACTAAACGTGTACTCTGGGTGGCATTACAAATTTAAAAAAACAGTTAGACCAATAAACATATGCATAAATCCAAGATGGCAAAAATGAAGAATTTAAAATACAGCGGGTGGGAAAGCCTGCCCAAATAACCAGGTCTTAACTTTACTCCTGAAGACACCCAGAGAGGGAGCCAGGCAGATCTCTATGAGCAAGCTGTTCCAGAGGTGAAGGGCCACTTCCGAGAAGGACTAGTTCCTCATTCTTTCCTTCTGGAACTCCCTCAGCATTAGGCCCCTCAGCTGCCCGACCTGGATGGAACAAGTGATTTGGCAGAACTGGGAGAAGGCGCTCTGCCAGATATCAAGGTCCTAAACTATTTAGGGCTTTATATGTCATTGTTAGGACTTTGAAATCAATGTGGAAACGAATGGGCAGCCAATGCAAGGCGGCCAGAGTGGGGGAAATATGGTGGTATCTTTTCACCCCTGTAAGAAGTCTTGTCGTTGTATTTTGCACCATCTGGCGATTCCGTGTCAGTCTCAAAGGCAGCCCCATGTAGAGCGCATTACAGTAGTCTAATCTCGAGACTACAATTGCATGGACCAAAGTGGTGAGCGCCCCCACATCAAGATAGGGACGAAGCTGAGCAATCCGCCAAAGATGGAAGTGTGTGGAACAGACCACTGACCCCACCTGAGTTTCCATGGTCAACACCAGGTCCATATGTACACCCAAGCTGCTAACCTCACTCTTGGTGGTAAGAGTCACCCGCCCCCAAAAGAGATACTGATGACATGAAGCACCACATCCCCTTATGACCCATCCCAGCAGCCTCATATAGATGTTAAACAGCATTGAAGAAATGATCGAGCCCTGCAGAACTCCACAATTGAGGCTCCTTGGGGTCGAGAAACTATCTCCAATCTGCACTCTCTGGGGACGGTCCTCCAAGAAGGAATGGAGCCAGGCAAAAGCCAGGCCAGCAATTCCTAACTCAGAGAGCCTCTCCAGGAGGATACAGTGGATGACAGTATCAAAAGCGGCAGAGATATCGAGGAGGACCAGCAGAGACATTTTGCCCCTGTTGGCCTCCCTCAGTAGGTCATCAAATGGGGTGACCAGTGCCTTTTCCATGGCGTGCATGGTTTTATCCAGAAGAGCCTGCAACTGGTCGGCCACCACCCTCACAACTACCTTGCTGAGGAAAGAAACATTGGTGACAGGCCTATAATTACCAATATCATCCACTGCCAAGCTCAGTTTCTTCCTAATGGACCTAATGAGTGTCTCCTTGAGGGCAAGGGGGACCTTGCACACCTGGAGAGACCCATTAATTCTTGCCATAGCTCATTCAGATGTTAGAGATAGGCAGGAATCTCAGTCCCTTCCTTCACCTCCATGGCCAATTATGCACTCACCTCTCCTCCTCTTCAGCTGTTTGACCAGTCCTTGGCAGGGACACGGGGGTTGTCTGTCCTGACTTCTTCTCTGGGTGGGCAGTCAGCCAAGGAAGGGGGGCAAGGAAGCCTGTGCTCCTATCAGATTTTGGTCAAACAGTCAAAAAGAAGGAAGAGAAAAGCGGTCACTGGCTGGTGTGTGAGGGATTCAGCTGTGGAAGCAGGAGAAGGGAACATATAGCACATGCATACAAACCAGCATGAACTCCAAACAGGTTTGTGTCCGTCTCTATTGAGAACCATCATTTCTGATCTTAGCTTGTTCTGACACCAACGTTTCAACAAACCACGGTTCCCTGAATTCCAGCTTATCAGAGAACTGTGATTTAAAGTTGAGAGCAGATCCTTCTAATCTCTTCTTCCCGTTGTACAAAGGAGGAGTGGTGACAGAGAAGTATGTCTGTTAAGAACCATAACCTTGTTCAATAATGTGATACTATAATTTCCCATTAAGCAACGGTGTTTTGTTGAATGAAACTATTTTCCTTTATTGGTCTGCTTAAATTGTACATTATGCAGCTTTCACCTTTCTAATGTGTCCGATGTTACTTATACTAAATGTAATAGTAAGAATACTTATACATTTTGTGCTTCTTGATGAACAGATTACAAGAATCTTCTGTAATTTATTTTATTCTTACCTTAGGTTGTTCAAGGAAAGAAATAACTGAAAACTGGGAATGGCTTGAACAGAATTTACTACAAACTTTATCTATCTTCGAAAATGAAAATGATATAAACACATTTGTCAGAGGAAAAATACAGGTAGTAGCTGTATTGTTAGCATGGTTATTTGTCTGTTTGAGTAGGGAAAACTAATACGTACATTTATCTTTTATACCTGATTTGCTGCCTTGTATACTTTTGTCTTTAGAAACGCACTCCTATATAAAGACTATCTTGTCTAGCTTCAGGAAGCACAAGCCAGTATAAACAGCCATGTCAGTGTGATGAAGCAGAATACATAGGATGAGATCCAGCAAATTGCCTTAGGCATATGCCTGAGATTTCTGTTAACCTGGTTGGATTTTTGAATTTTTATCTTATGAACAGACAACACATACATAGATTTGAGCCATATCATGTGTATTCAGAGAGATATTGCCATTTGAGAGACACTAATGGCTAAAACCTTTTTTTTTTTTTTTTTTAACGTGTATTCAGAGAGATCTTGCCATTTGAGAGACACTAAAATCTAAAACCTTTTTTTTTGTCAAGATGGGAGTGATTGGGTAGTTCTCCACATTTTGGCCAGATGGAGTTCCCACTTACCCTTTTCTCTCCAAAGATTTTGTGAGAAGATTCTGTGAAGAATTTCTAGCTCTCTCTGATTAGACTGTAATTAGAACTCCTGTTGTCTTTGCCACTCTCAAGCTGGTGAGACATGCAAGCCAATAAATGCTGAAAAGCCCCATGTCTCAGCTGTCCTCTTCTTCAGCATCCTAATTAAGTTGGATTTAGCGATTTAGGCTTTCTCTTGCAGTTGACAGAAACAGTGCTATGGTAAGTTGGTTCATAGGCTAAAAGGGAGTGTGTGGTTGTGGTCCCCAGTGGCTGGAACGTAAACACAAAGTGTATACAACTTCACATGCATTCTGGGTGACCAGCCTGACCTGTGTGATCCTCTGTTCCAGGGTATCATCGCAGAATATAACAAAATCAATGGTATCAGGGAAGATGATGACACAGAGAAATTCAAAGAAGCAATAGTGAAGTTCCACAAATTGTTTGGGATGCCGGAGGAAGAAAAACTAGTGAATTACTACTCCTGCAGTTACTGGAAAGGAAAGGTCCCTCGCCAGGGCTGGATGTATCTCAGCATCAACCATCTGTGCTTCTATTCCTTTCTCATGGGGCGGGAAGGTATGCAGGAATGGCTTCTACATTTATTAGTGTACTTCATTAGCCGTTTAGTCATGGTGTGAAGTAAAAAAGAGAGCATTCTTAACATTGGAAATATAGGCAGGCGTGTGCAGATATCTGGAAAGAACCACTTCCTTTGAGTTAGCTTTCATGAATTTGGCATAGTCCAGGTGTTGACAAAACCCAAGCACAGGTTGCTTTTTAACAGCAACTTATTCCATTACTCACAACAAAACAAGATGGGGTAGGTCTAACAGTAGCAATCTGCTACTGATCCACTAACTTGGAGTGGATCAATAACAGATTGCTACTGTTACACCTACCCCATCTGCAAAAGTAACTTGTTTTGCTGTTGCTTATGAATACATGGGAATTTTCCCTGGTGCGCTCTAGTGGTCATTTTTGTTTATGCCACACTGAAAGTACTGGAATAAATAAATACATTATAAAGCAAAGTTCCCCTTGGTACTTCCTTCCCAGATGCTTTGAACTATGAGCCCTATCCAGTTGGGGACAGGAGAGCATTTCTGGTCCAAGGAAATGTCAGGTTGCCTGGAGTTCTACAGTGAGAGATATTTTACAAGCATGTAGTGGCTAGATTGAACTATCATAACAACATGTATTTCCATAGAATTCTCTCCACCCACAACTTATTTGAGTATATGGAGCAGGATGAGCATTGGGAATTAAAAATCACATCCATGTTTGGTTGGGTGCCATCTTGGCTGGCAGAATTATAGAGAGTCCTCCTAAATAAAGCGTCCATGTTTGGAGTTGTTGTGCCTCTCAATAGCAGATATTTTGAACAACAGATATGAGAGGGCCTTGCTTATGGATCCTCCTGAGCTACAATGTGCTAGCCATAGACTCTAGAGACTGATACGGAAAGTAGGTTATACTGATTCCATGTCTCCCAAAGGTGACTTCTAAACATCAGTCCTACCCAGTGCCTCATCCCAGCTTTCAATGCCAAGCCTAATGGAAAGTGGCAACTGACTTATACCAAATCACATTGCTCGCATGTGCAAAAGCCGCACACCCCAGATTCACTTGCTTGCTTGCTTTCTTCCCCCCCCTCCACCTCTGGGGCCACATTCGTGCATGTATTCCCCTGCATAGGGCCTCTCTTCCTCTCCCTCTTTCCCCCTTTGCTCTCTAGCTGACATGTCCTATTTGTTGTGCACATGCTCCGTTCTCTCTCATGCACACCCACACGCTCCTATTCTCACATACACACATACCTGCTCTTGTAGCTTCTTGTGCATCTGTGCTCTCCTGTACTTGCTCTCTCTCACACACACACATGCCTGTCCACATTTGTTCTCTCTTCCCTTTATCTGCTACTCTCCTGCATTTAGGCAAGTGCAAACCTGCCCATTATTATTCACTCACGTTTCTCACATGCATGTTTGCCCACTCTCTTGAGCGCACACCCTCTCTCATGTATGTGTCCATGTGCCTGGCTGCTCTCGTGTGAGCCTACCTGTGTTCCCTCTCTCTGGCATGCATGCCCGCTTTCACAGTCTTACTTTACTTATACTCAACTGCTCTCTCACCTACAGCAGTGGTGGGCAAATGTGGCCCTCCAGAAGTTTTGGGACTTATTTCCTATAATCGCTAAACATTGCCCTTGCTGGATAGGACTAATGGGAGCTGTAGGCCATAAAAATATGTGAAGGACCACCACTGCTCATGGGGGCTGCAAAATGAGTGGAGAAAGCATTTAATTACCAAACTCGAAGGTGGCAGGATGACTTTACTGGTGGTAGTGATTTTCTCTAACTAAAATACTTCCCCCTCCCACACCACTACTCCTAGTAGTTTCCTGACAGTAAAAGCCATTACATAGAAGCATCTGAACCTTTCCGGGGAGAAACTGGAAATGTTTGATTTAAAAAAAAAAAAATCAGTGTGGCTGATGACATTGTCAGTTTTACATAGCAGGGCAACAGGATTTCAGCCGCTTTGTGTCTTTAACTTGTTTTCCTTTGATTAAACTCTTGTTTTGCAACTAAACCATAAGTTGAGTTTGGTGTATGTTTTGTGTGTGTGTGTGTGTGTGTTTGAAGTGTTTATTATATTAATTTAAGGTATGGTGGGGGGCATGTGACCTTCCAGAAGTTGTCCAACTGCAACTCCTATCATACCTTACCATTGGCTATGGTGACTAAATCTGATGGGATTTGTTTCTAACAACATCTGTAGACTTACCTTTTTCCCAGTTGTGATTTGATGTGAGAGAGGTCTCTGAAGTATTTGTACTCTAGCCAGGTGCCTTCAGGTTGCTTATAACAAAAGTGATGGCCATGTCCAGCATCGGCTACTTGAGAGTAACCCTCTTGAGGGCACTGACACTTATCTAAATAGGTATTCATAGGACTTTACTATGAAGCATCGGAATAAGACAATTGTATCAACTCAATTGCTGTTGTAATTACTGAGAGAGCTTGGTTTCTGCTGAAGCTTTTCTTCCTTTTGACTAGCTAAGCTCGTCATCCGGTGGGTAGACATCACCCAGCTTGAGAAGAATGCTACTCTGCTTTTGCCTGATGTTATCAAAGTCAGCACAAGGTCCAGCCAGCATTTCTTTTCGGTATTTCTCAACATCAACGAAACCTTTAAGCTAATGGAGCAGCTCGCCAACATCGCCATGAGGCAGCTTTTGGACAATGAAGGCTTTGAGCAAGACCGGTCACTCCCCAGGCTTAAAAAGAAGTCCCCCAAAAAAGTATCTGCTCTGAAACGGTAGGTTTCCAAGTTGGTGTATCTGTTTGTGTCTTTTTTTATTTCAAAGCCTTGGTGAAATTTATGTCCTCCTGAAATCACAAGTGGGTGTAACTGTTCCTGCTCACAGTGAGCTTTCCCAGTGAAAGTACGGAGGCTTGTTCAGATCTGTGGGTGCCATTGTAGAACCCAACGAATGAGGAGGAGGATTCTTTTCCTTTCAGAGTCAAGAGATAGTGGATGGAGGCAGAGAGTTCAGGCACACAGGTGCTGATTAAAATACGTGGTGATTAGCAACTAGCATTCATTTTGCTGGGTCTGCTCTAGGTAGGACTAATGTTAAATGATGCTTGCATAACGCAGCACATGGATTTCAAAGCAGCTGACTCCAAATGCAACTGTGTGATCGCTCTATGCTAACTATGATATTCTGAGCTTGAGCACTATTTCCTGACACTTGCAGGTAAGGGTGGGAACTCACTCCCTACACAGAGGCGGACAGGGGAACAGAGATTGCTGTACTGCCACTGCTGGGGCCACATTCTTCACTGCCTTTGTTTCCCTTCTCTCCTTTACATGTCTTGTCCTCTCTACTCTTTGGGCTTGGGACCTGCCTTCTTGTTTCTTTGTTTGCTCTTTCTGCTGTGTAGTGCTTCATGTTTAATGATAGTGCTCTACAGATAATAGCAGTATCCCAAAAGTGATTTGTTTGTAATCCCTCTGATTTTAGAAGAGCTTAGATTTAAGGAAATGAAGCTCACGCAGCTGGCTCAAGTGGAAAGAATAAGCTTGTGTAGGCAAATGGACCAGGTCTATCAGTCGTGGTTCCTACTTATGATTGCCATATATTACAGTTACTGAAAAAGAGGGGAAGAAGGAAGGTCCTAATGTGTGGATGTCTTGCTTCTGGCGTCCTCTGGGGGAACAGAAAACTGGACTGGATAGGCTTCTGTTTTGTCCTTGTGTCAAACCCGGGAAATAATTCATTAACATCTAAGGTTGTTTTCACTTAACTTGGGCCATAATGGCAGTAGTTTACCATTTCAATCTAATTCAGCGCTTCCAATATGACATCAAGGAAGTTTTCTTGTTAATTGCCGTTAATTATCCCCATGCCCTCTACCTAGAAGGCCACCTGTTGAGCAGTTTCTCTTTCATTGTTAAAGGTTATTTGATATGCCAGTTTCTCTGAGATCTAATTGAAAGGGTGTTGAGATACCAGGAAAAGGTTGAGTCTAGGAAGGAAAAAAAGTGAATAGTAGTTAGGATTGAAAAGATAGTATAATGGATAAAAGTCAATCTGCTTATTAATTACATATTTTCAAGTTGGTTCTAAATTATGGCAGTCCTCCCAGAGTTTTTATGGAATGAAGTACTCATTTGTAGTTTACCAGTCCCTCCTCCTGATGTCACTCTGGGACCATACAGCTTTTCCCAGGGCTACGTAGGTGGCAGGGCAAACCCAATTACGTAATTCTGCTCTCAGCAGGCACAGTGGGGATTTGTGCTCCAAGCCCTTGGCTCTGCAGCCAGGCACTTCTCACCACTGAGTTAGTTAATTGTTTTTCAATCCAATGCTCAGTGCACACGTATCACTGTATAGTAGTACAGTGGTACCTCGGTTTACGAACGCCTCGGTTAATGTCATTTTCGGTTTACGAATGAAAATCCATTGAAAATAATGGCTCGGTTTATGAAATTTTTTTCACAATATGAAGCAAGTTTCCCCAATTTGCCATGTGTCAAAAGGTGATGTGTGATGTTTTAAAAGTTGAAGTTGGATGTTTGAAATGTTATTGCTTGATTAATTATGTCCCTGTACAGCATTTATGCTTTTAAAGTACACTTTATAAAGAGTTTTGAACAGATAAAATACTTTAAAAAAAACAACAAGTTTTTTCTGACCTCTGGAACAGATTAATTGGTTTTCAATGCATTCTTATGGGAAGCTATGTTTCGGTTTACAATTTATTTATTTTTTTGCAATGCGAAACATCCCGGATAACGCATTAAATTCATAAACTGAGGTACCACTGTACAGTGGTGCCTCGCACAATGAGCGCACCGTAGAGCGATGAATTCGCTCTGCGGTGACGCTTTTGCGATCGGGGCTTCCGGCAGCGTTTTCGCGCGCTCCCCTTGCTTACCAAGGGCGCGAAAACGCTGCGCCCCGGCCCCTTTCGGCTGTTCCGGCGGCCATTTTTGACCCGCCTAACAGCTGATGGCAGCCATTTTGGCGCCCTCGTTCTGCGAGGGGAGGGTGCGAAAATGGCTGCCGCCTATGGAGGAACTTCGCTGAACGGTGAGTTTGAAAGCCATAGGAATGCATTGAACAAAGTTCAATGCGTTTCTATGGCTTTTTCCCTCCCGCACAGCGATGTTTCCCACAGCGAAGGTTAATCCGGAACGGATTAACCTCGCTGTGCGGGGCACCACTGTATATATAATTTTGGAGGAAACACAATGCAAACAGTGTTCTTGCCTAATTTTTTTCCATAAAAAAACTTTGTTTAAAGTGCAGCATAGTAATATACAAGTGTACTGAGAAATAAGTCCACTGAATTCTGTGGGATTTACTTTTACATGCATAGATACAGGACTGCAGCCTTTTATTTCCAGGAAGCCCATTTCTCCAGATGATCTGGTGAATAAATGTTTAGGTCTTCAAGGTATCCTTTGTATATCCAACCTGCCTGCTTTTTTTGAATCAGGAGAGGGACAGAAGTTAGAAAACAAAAACAAAACATGTTTCATTTTAAAATACAACTATGTGGTTTGACATCAGTACAAATAGATGTAGGATTTTTTGTTCACATTACTCTGTTAGTTTATGAGTTTAAAATACTGCTTTTTTTAAAAAAAAATGTTTCCATGCTTTATTTCTCATCTGAATGATCCTAATGTGTGTGACATTATGTTTATAAAGTATTAAAGATAACAGTTTTTCATCTCTTCATTAGTACTGAATAAAACAATGCCCCTTGTTTTGAAAAAACACCACCACCACATTTCCTACTTCCAAACCAGTGCCAGAAATATGTGTAGTGAGTGATTGTGGAGCCAAATGATGCCGTATGTTGACGAAGATGGATGAGGGTCAAAAGAAGGGAAATAGCTCTGATCTAGATCAGTGTCAAAATGTTACTGAACAGATTGTGAACCACATCCCATTCTTTAGCAGGTCCAGCCTACTGAGCTGAACAGCTTCCAGACATGTTAAACTGCCACCCCCCATCTGACAACCCTGTTATTGCAGTTGTAGTCCATATACTGTTGTGCCCCGCTTTGATTACCCTGTTTAACGACGAATCCGCTTGACAGTGAGGTTTTTGCGATCGCAAAACGATGGTTTGAATGGGATTTTCCCGCTTTGCGATGATCGGTTCCCTGCTTCGGGAACCGATTATCGCTTTATGACGATCAGCAAACAGCTGATTGTTGGGTTTCAAAATGGCTGCCGGGTGTACAAAATGGCTCCCTGCTGTGTTTAGGAAAAAAAGTGCCAGACCAGGGAATGGAACGTTAAAGCAGCAAAAAATGCACTTTTGAAGGATTCTATAACAAATATGCCACTATAAGTGTCAGTAGTAACAATCCGCATGCCATTCTGTATGAATCCTACAACCAACAACTTAATTAATGAATTAAAACTCATTCATTGACTTAAATTATTCCATTCCTCAATGCAGACAACACCAAGTTAATTTCCTCATTTTGATTGATTTGATTGTTATACCTCTCATCTTAACAATGGTTATTTCTAATGGTTATCCTTAATGGAAGTGTTGGACCGAGATTGGGGTTCACTTTGAATCTGATGGTGATATTGGCCATGGAAAGGTTACTGTCCTCTACCTTAAATAGTTAGTTAGTAAGATGGAATATTATACACAGGTATGGCTACAAATACATTCTCCCATAAAGAAATAAATTCTCTGCCTGTTACTCATGTTTGAATTGTGTATGTGTGTGTATAGCTCTCACTCATTTATCTGGTCTGTGGGTGATGATGTGTATTGAAGCTGAATATGAACACTGACCCTCTGAAATATGTTCTTCAGGGACCTTGATGCCAGAGCAAAAAGTGAAAGGTACCGTGCCTTGTTCCGACTTCCAAAGGATGAAAAACTAGATGGGCATACAGATTGTACTCTATGGACACCATTTAACAAAATGCACATTTTGGGTCAGATGTTTGTGTCTACAAATTACATCTGTTTCACTAGTAAGGAAGAAAACTTGTGTAGTCTCATTATTCCACTTCGAGAGGTTGGTATACTGTATTGCATATGTCATACTTTGATTTCTTGGTTTCCAGGTTGCATCTCAGTTGCTGGAGTCCATTACATTTCAGTTTGTGGTAATTGTTTGGTTTGTATAAAGTTATACAGAAGGTTGATGCTGTTTCTTTTTTTTTCACCACAAAGATTTATTAAATTTTAAGTCCTGTTCTTTTAGCTAATATTAATCTACAGTAAAGTTAACTGCTGTATAATGTATGAAGGATAGAATAGTTGATTCTGCACTTTAATGACATACAGTCTAATGGACATAATACACAATAAAAAAGGAGCCAGGAGGGAAGAAGGAAATAAACAACATAAAGAACATTTTCCTGTTTAATTGGAGTATGCTTTGTTAATGTGGCTGTCTTACATTAGGAAATAGATTTAGCTTTAAAGAAAATAAAAGATGAGCCTAGTTGAAAGGGAAGACTGAGGGGAAAGAACATAAGTACAGTGGTGCCCCGCTAGACGCTTATCCCTCATGATGTCGAAATTGCTTGACGATTACATTTTTGTGATCACTATTGCGATCGCAAAACGATGGTTCCAATGGGGGAAATCCGCTTTACGTTGATTAGGAGCCTGTTTTTTCCTGCTCTGCAAAATGGCTTCCCTCCCTTCTCAAAATGGCTGCTTTCCAGTTCCGCAAAATGGCTTCCCTCCCTTCTCAAAATGGCTGTTTTCTGGCTCCGCAAAATGGCTTCCCTCAGCAAAATGGCTTCCCTCCCTTCTCAAAATGGCTGCTTTCCTGTTCCACAAAATGGCTTCCCTCTGCAAAATGGCTTCCCTCCCTTCTCAAAATGGCTGCTTTCCAGACGGAAGCTTCACATTACAGCAATTTTTAACAGCTGATCAGTGGTTCTCTATGGGCAATCTTCGCTGGACGATGAGGTATTCCCTCCATTGGAATGCATTGACCGGTTTTCAATACATTTCAATGGGGATTTTTTCCCCGCTTGATGACGATTTCACTTAACAGCGATTTTGCTGGAACGCATTATTGTCGTCAAGTGGGGCACCACTGTAACTGAGACACAGCTTGTGAATACAAGTTAGCACAATGCTAAACAAAGAAATGAATCCTTTTAGTTAATGAAACATTAAAACCCTGTAGTAATGGCTTGACCATACATCATTAAATTAAAATAAACAACTCAAAGCTGATAAAGCCTAATGCAGTTTTTATTATTTCTGATCAACAATTTGAAAGCAGTAGTTTACAGATATTAAATAATTTTCTTCATGCTCTTGAGGTCTTCCATAATGTTTTATTTTCTCAAGTTAAATTTAAATCTAAATTTACTGTGCAAGAAATAAAAATATCACAGTCCTCTTCCCTTCCTCCATTCATTTTACAAGAACCAGTGATAACATCAACACAATGTTAGGAGTGGACTACAATTAAGGGTAGGGCACAAGTTTAGCATGCAGAAGGTGTCTGGTTTTAAGAAAGAGATCAAGTGGCAGATAATGAGAATGATATTCTACCCAGAACCCAGGAAGTCTATTGCCCATCAGAATAAACACTATTGAGGTACGTTGGCAAATATTCTGATCAGTTAGAAGGCTGCTTCCTACATTGGCAGGACCCAACTGGCCATTTGAGCAATATAGTGTCACTGTCAGAGAAGATCAATACCTCTAGTATTTTTAGACTTCATCTACCACCTTGTAGCTTGCTTTTTGCTTTGACTGATTTTGTCTCAAGTATTCCCTTTATAGACATTTCTCATGTGCTTGATGAAAGATTGTCTTACAGGAGCTGACGTGCTAGATCAAAACAGTGCTCCTTGCAAACGAGATTCCGTCACTGAATGAAATGATAGCATATCTTTGTCTCTGCTCATGGCAAAGTCTTCCACTTGTTCTGATCAGACTAATTAAAACGGGAAGATGATGATTTATTATACAACACTGATCATCTACTAGTTCCTTACAGGAGTGCAAATCTTGGGCGGCTCAAGTCCAGGACCAAATTGGACACCTTAAGGTTTTATAAAGAAGGAAAGCTTTGTCCTGGTAGATGTTTGGGACTTCCGTTCCCATAAGCCCTGACAAACATTGCTAGGGAGAACAATTTCTTGGTGTAGTCCAAACCATTTGGAGGGCTAAAGGCTCCCATCCCTCTTATAAAGTATTTAGGTTAACTGTTGTGAAAGTGTCAAAGGAAAGTACTGGAAAATATATAGAATATTTCTACAAGCTACGGCTGTAAAATTGTGTTATTGCTCTGTGTTGAAGAAATACAACTTTTTATATGTGTATTTATTTGCTTTTGCTTGTTCTTTGCTTTAGGTGACTATTGTAGAAAAGGCAGACAGCTCAAGTGTATTACCTAGCCCGCTATCCATCAGCACAAAAAACCGAATGACATTTCTCTTTGCCAATTTGAAAGACAGAGACTTTCTAGTGCAGAGAATTTCTGACTTTCTTCAGCAGACTACCTCTAAAATATACTCTGAAAAAGAGATTTCTGGAAGCTACAATAGCTCAGATGATGAGGTGAGGATTCCTTCTCTTCTTGAAATTATTTCAGTTTAACTTGGTTGTATAAATATTCTCTGTTGACATGAATCTTCCTGAGCCACATGTTTTAGCTGGGGAACATGTGAGGATTGCTTCTTTGTAGATAAATGTTTACATCAGGGAGAAGGCTGTTTTGTATCCTGAGATACTCTAAATGTGTGAACACCTGTATCATGGACTTCCTTAAATGTTTTACCTTGGTGTTTGAGAACTATTTGGATCAAGTACAGTGGTGCCCCGCATAGCGACGATAATCCGTGTAGCAAAAATTGTCACTATACGGATTCGTCGCTATGCAAAAATAAAAAACCCTTAGGAACGCATCAAAACCCGTTTAATGTGTTCCTATGGGCAAAAAACTCACCTTTATGCGAAAATCCTCCATACGGCGGCCATACCCGGTAAGTGAGGAATCCGGGCGAAACCACAGCGGGTGGCCTTTTTTTTAACCTGGCGGCCATTTTGGAACCGCCGATCAGCTGTTGGGAAATCATCGTTATGCAAAAATCAGTAAGCAAAACAGCTTACCGATCGTCGCAAATTGATTTTTTCCCCATTAGAAACATCGCAATGCGATTGCAAAAACGATCGCAAAGAATTCGTCACTATACGGATTCGTCGTTAAACGGGGTGCCCGTTAAGCAAGTCACCACTGTATTTCTGTAAGAAAAAAAAGGAAGTTTTCATGTAGTGGGCTGGCACAATAAATAACTACAAGAGCCACAGTGTGGGTAGCTAATATATACTGGGTCCTAGGTAGATCTGACAAAGTGTCAGACTGATACACCTAGCTAAGACTGTAGCTACATGACAAGATTCGTAGGTACTACCTGAATTACCATAATTCCACCCTATAGAATCTTGGTCCTTCTTGTATGAACTATGAGTATATCTACACAACACACTTCTAGTAGTTTGATACTACTTTGTGATGACTCCAGCCTGTGGACTCCTGAGATGTGTTTAGGTACTTTTAATTGTCTGCTGGAGAGCTCCAGTGCTATAATTTGAGAATACTGCACTGGCATGTCAGCAGAAAATTCTAAGTCTTCACTATACAACTAATTTCAAGATTCCATAGGCTAAAGACATGGCAGTTCAAGTGGAATCAAACAGTGGTAACTCCATAAAATAAATACATGTATCATCCACACAAGATAAACTTTTGCAAGATCATACTTGAGACAGATTTGTGATGTGATGTATGTGCCACTTTACTGCACCCAAGGCCCTCTCTCTTCCCAAAAAGCTTCACTAGAAGGCTGTTCTCTACTGCCAAAAGGAACAAGGAGGACCTGTGCTTGCTTGGTTATGGTCTGAGGGGCCTCATTGCACTGTGGTTAAATTGCAATATTGCAGCTAAAACTCTGCTCACTACCTGTGTTCAATCCCAAGTAGCTGGCTCAAGTTTCATTCACCCTTCCATCCTTCCAAGGTCAGTAAAGAGATTACCCAACTTTCTGCAGGGGAGCAATGTGTAGCCTGCATAATTACATTTTTAACCACCCAGAGACTGCTTTAGTGCTATGGGGCAGTATATAAGCAGCACACTTTGCTTTGCTTTATTCTCTTGTTGTTTTGCATGTTTTTGATATTTGACATATGTTCTAGGACTGAGCTCAGTTCTAGGCTGTGATTTGATTGAGTACTTATTTTTGTAGTTCTGGAGGACCAAATATGCAACGTGAACATCATTTTAGATATGTCTTAGGAGCCAACGGGACTCCTTAGTTGACAACATTAGGCAGTTCAGATGTATTGCCAGATAATTGGAGCCTGACTTTAAAAACATGACCATCCTTCTTCTCTTCCCACTTTGTGTGCTTTCTGACTTCCCATCCAGGCTTGACCAAATGATTGTGTGCTGAGCAGTGCATTGGAGCCTGACTTTAAAAACATGACATCCTTCTTCTCTTCCCCCTTTGTGTGTTTTCTGACTTCCCATCCAAACTTGACCAAATGATTGTGTGCTGAGCAGTGGTTTCCACAAACCACATTTGCCCTGATTCAGCCCTTGTAGCAAATTGTTGTTTGCACAAATGAGGAAGTTGGAGCTCACAAGAAGAAGAGTATAAACGTGAATGGCATTTGTAAGGGCCAGAACATGGTTTGGCTTTTGATCTGGGATTGAAAGGAAGGCATAGAAAAGAAAAAAAGGGTGGAAAGGGAGACGTATGTCTCCTGTATTTGTGAAACTTGTCCGGCAGAAGCAAAAGGCTCCTTTAAAATGTGTTTCTTTTTCCAGCAATTTGCAACTTATTATGTAGATGATATGTTGCACACAGAGAGAAATACTCGTGGTTTCTACAGCTTGATTCAGACATAGCACCAATCTGGCATTGCAAGTATATGTTTTCAAAGACTCTCAACCTTGCACATTTCCCCTACTCTCTTTCTTGCCCCCTCACACATCTCTTCTGTCTTTCCTGGCTTGAGGCAAAGCATTGTTACTTTGTCCAAATGATATTAGCATATGCCCTATAAACTCTTTTTCAATCCTGGTTTACAAGGCTAGCATAAATCATACTTTTTGTTACGGTAGTAAGTTGTGGTTTGCTTTAAATCAAAACAGGAAAGAGAGAGTCATTGCTTGGGAGAAGATTAAGGAGCCCACAAGTCTATTGCTCAGGCATATAAGTTGGATTCAGGCTTTACAAAAAGGTCAGGACACTGAAGATCAAAAAGCCTTCTGCCAGCCTCAGATCCTGGTGCTATAGTTCCAGAATCTCATATTGCTTCTTTTTAAAGTAACCATTTGCCCTTACTATTAAATGGGGAGGGGCCATCCATATTCAGAAGGTATCATCTTATCTGGAAAATTGCCCGATGCTGGCATAAGCAAAATGCTTCCTATTGACTGTTGAATGTTTGCCAACTTGCAGATGAAACACACAGCAGTACAATGTATCATGGTGGAGAGAATATAAAATTACAGTAATTAATTATAAAAATCATATTGTCTGGATTGCAAATGGATTCGAATTAGCTTGGGGACATTACCAAGACTGAAGATTTTAAGACATAATATGTGGCTTGCCAAGATATTATGTCTTGTCAGTGTTTTTTAAATGATGGCAATGAGCCATTTAAAAGCAAACCTCTCTAAATCAGAATACTTTTTAAACTGTTCTGTTTGTTTTCAGATGTGCTACTTTTCAGCATGACCAGTTTCTTATAAAAGACTGAAAGTAATAATACTTCTGCACTTTTGGAAAGGTCATAAAAAACTGTCAGTGATTCCTCTGTTGCTGCTTTGGGTTCAGTATGTCCACAGGGGTTCCTTTCAGCTATTGCCATGAGTCTGCAGTGCTTGTGATACACCAGACAAAATGCAGTCATGTATGGCAGCACAGTAGGGGCTCAACCCTTCTGCCTAGCACTTGAGGGAACACCATAGAGGTGTCAAAAGCACCAAGCAGCCTCACAAAACATGATGGGACTGCTGCATTTGCCATTGTATGTCACAAGATATGCAGGCCTACGGTGGAATGAAGTACCAGGGGCCAGCCTGAGATGTTTTGCTACCTGAGGCAAAATACAAGGTGCTGTGGCTACCCTTTCCATGTTGAGAAGGCAGTTAAACAACACTGATGACAGATCTTGCACTTCACCTGAGAGTGACAGGCTAGGTTTGGGAATGCAAGGCAGCCATCTGGCTTTCCTCGCATATAATTTAAATACACACACAGAGAGAAGAAGTGGCTCAGAAGACTTAAAACCATGATGCTGAAAAAGGTTCTCCTCACTATTTTTCCTCTAGACATCCTTCTTTCAGCTTCCGCTTTCAGTTGATAATTTCCCAAACAAATTTTGTTTCTGGCAAACAGTGATTATTTTAATCACGCTATAGTCTCTTCACTATATAGTTAAAGCTATTTGATGCCATTTTTAACCGCCATGGGTCTGCCCTATATAGTGCTGGGATCTGTACTTGGATATAGTACTTAGAGTTCTCTGCTATAGGGCTGTAGGAAAGTCTCCTAGAGGTTTCTAGCAGAATAATTTAAGTACCACAGACAAACGACTATCTCACAGTTCCATAAGATGAAGATCTGAGAGTTGAAGTGGGCATCAAGCTGCTGTAACTGCCTAGTAGGAAGACACTTATTTTCTCAGGGCCATGACACCCAAGGGCATAGTTACTCAACCATTCAACCATTGCTAACTAGAGAAGACAGTTACTGAGGCCCATATCCTATTGCTGGTTTCAGCTATAATAGGATACAGGCTCTTGTAACTGCTGAATGGTAACTACTGGATGGTAAGTCAGCACTTACATAAGTCCCACTGTATCAGTAGGTCTACTCTGGTTAGGATTAACAATACGATACTGGCCTAGGTTACTTTTCTTCAAAGGACTAAACATCTCTGATAAAGTAAGTTCTTCACATTTCTTTGCTCAGCACTTTCAGCAATTACATTTCTTGATACTGTCATGAAAAATGACATCTATAAGATAAATCCAAATAGGGGGAAATGGTTTTTGAAAATAGCATTTGTCACAGAGTGAACCAAAAATCAAAGCCACAACTTGGTCCCTGCAGAACGTTCTGTAAGACTCATTGTACTGCTGTTCTGGATCAGCTTCCTGGCATGTTCTTGAGTATGTAATTTTAAATAAACATGCCAGTTAAGTTTCAAAAAAGTATTATGTCGTTCATTGAAATTCACTCACTTCTGATCCTGAAATGAAGCTGGTGTGGGATACTTTAGAATGCTTAGAAATAATTTAATAAGAGGATTAAACATCCACTTAAAAGGGAACATTTTGTATTCCTAAAATCTTATTTCTGTTGCCAGCACTTTAGTCCTGAAATCCACTTCAGCCAATTTATTTCTCAGTGATGTTTTGCAGAAATCAACCCGTTCAAACAATCATGGCGTAGGCCTGCAATCTGAATTAAAAGGCTTTAGGCACTGGACTTAAACAAATGTGATGGAACTCATGCTTTTGAAACATCACAGCAGAAATCATTTGGCAAAAGTGAGTTTTCTGCCGCAGTGCTCCCTCTGGCTGCTCCTGTCCTCTCCTGCTCTCAGCGGCTTGAATTTCTCAAGCTCAGCACTGTGGCTGGCAGAGGAGATGGTGGGTAGCATGTCAGGAAAAGTAACACAGGCCAAACTGCTTCCTGCCACCAAGCTATTAAAAGCTCAGGAGCCCTTCTGGGGATCTGCAGTTAATGGGTCATCAGGCACCATTGTACTAGCACAATTCAAGCAATTTAATCCATGGCATTCCCCTCACCGTCACCCCTATCCGAACAGTTTGTACAATTTCCCCCTCCTTGTTCCTTCAGGTATACTCAAGGGCAAGTAGTATCCTTTCATCAAGTCCTCAGAGAAGCTTTAGTTCAGAAGCAGATGGAGAACGGCATTTCAGCTTGAATGGTAACAGCATCCCAACTGTAACGCAGGCACTGATGACTATGTATCGGCGGCGTTCGCCTGAGGAATTTAATCCTAAATTAGTAGGTCATATTGCTCATTTTTTGGTCTCAGATGTTTTACAAAAGTTCTTGCCACATTAATTTTTTAAAAGGAATGGAACATAGATTATGTTCAGAATTTGTTACAATGTTTGGTTGACTGCACAATCAGTATCATGAAAGATTTCTTTCCCTATTTAAATAAAATTATGTTGTAAGATGTCCGCATGCTCCCTGTGAAAAGAGGTGGGTTGAAATTATAGCACATTTAATACTTATTATAAATAATATCAGGAAAACGATTTCCACAGCTACTGAAGAATTTGAAAACACATTGTACAATTGTTACAAATCTCGTTTGTCTTTCCCCATTTATTTATATAAATTTACTTTTCTTGTAAAAATTGTTGAGAAATCAAGGGAAGAAACTACAGCAGCCTTTTTAGCACCATCTAGTAATTTTGAACTCCTTGTGTGGAAAAGCTTTCGAGTTACCATTCCATCATCAGATTCCTAGATGACCAGGGGACACTAGAATTTTTCTACCATATGTATGTATAGGGAATAAGTTTCATGTCTATATGCACAGAGATGCATACACAAGATAAAGTTAGGAATATGTATTTGGATCTGGAAAAATTCAGAATTCATCAAATAATGCAATCTTTAGATACTAGTGGATTCTGTTGAATATGGCTCTGATAGAGGGCATCTACACAGTTTACAACATTCAAGAGGCTCTGAACATTGGCATGCTGCAGTGGTGGAATCTAGCTTCCAACCCAGGGAAGCAGGGAGGTATGTGGGCTCCCCACCCCCTCACCTGAAGTGGTGACCTTGGCCAGTAAGCTAAAGAATATGTTGAACTCCAGGTTTGCCTTCTTGTGGAAGCAGGAAGAGTACATTCTAGCAACCGTCTTGGACCCCCAAATTAAGCAGTGAATATTAAGCAGCAGCAAGGGAAGGGCAGTGCCAACCAACTTACCATCACATGCTGCAGCAACTAATAAAGAACATCCAGCTAGTGCTGAGAGGTGACACAGAACGGAAAGAGACTAACAATGTTCGCAGCACCCCAAACAGCAGTACCAGCAGTTGCGGTTTAGAGTCCCAAGTCCCTCACCCCTCCAAGTTTTCTGGAACAGTGTATTGAAAGTCTGGCAGGGACCTGTTCTTCAAGGACACCACCCCAGAGAAAGGACATGGCAGAAGTAGAGGTGCACCTGTAGGAGACCTGCAAGTCAGAAGAGACTGATCCCTTGTCTTACTGGACTGAGCAGGGGTCTGTTTGACGAGGTTTGGCAAGGATGGCATTAAGGCTCACTCACCAACTGGTGTGCCCAGTGAGAGAGTGTTCCCTCTGATGGGGGACATTGTCAGTCCACACCACTCACACCTGGAACCTGAATATGTAGAAAAACTCGATTTCCTTAAGGTCAACCTAATATTGATGGACTTCCCTGAAGAACCCTTTAAATATGAGATAAATGCCTGCTCTGCTCACAGAACTGGGTATGCCATGCTTCGATCTGTTGCCCCTTCCTTCTGTTTCTTTTCTTTCATTCTTCCAAACGCTACTCCACGATTGTGCTCACTCAGTTGTGCTGTGCCCCATGCTATTGGCACAGTTCACACCCACCACAGGCTCTCTGCTGCTCCAGTCTGCCTGCCAGTGCTGCTCAGGATCTTTGCTCACTCCCCAGTGTTACCTGTCTCCTGCTTTTCCAGTGCTGCTGGCATTTCCACTGCTCAGTATTCAAACAGTATGCTCTTAGTCATTTCCTAATACCTAGGCACTGCTGGTTGTTGGTGTGAACTCTTTTTTTTGTTGTTTTTTGTTTTTTTGTTGTTTTTTTGGCACAGTCACTGCGAAGGTGTCAGAGGACACAGGAAAATTCTTTAAAATGTTTTGCCTCTTTGTGTTTTTTAAAAGGGGAAAATAATGATGATATGCAGTAGTTTTTATATTCACTGGAACAGCGTTCTGGATATTCAGAAATTCCAAATGTTTAAAATTCTGAATAATTCTGAAGCTGAATTGCAAATCTGAGTTTTGATGCTAATACACATCCCTAGTTAAAGTGTATCCCAATGTGAAGGTTAAAAATCTGTTGAATCTACTAAATCCACCTGAGATATCAAGTATCATAAACTGAAGTGTCAGATTGACATCAGGAGGTCATTATGCAAAGCCATACAAACATAATGATATCAGAACATGCACTGCAAAGCACAATTGAATAATATAATGAAGCTTGAGAAGTGGGTTCTTCTCTCTAAATATATGACCAAATTTTGTTGCACAGGTTATATATGTTTACTCTATTTCATACATTTTTAAAGGCAAAGGAATTTTTGAAAGAGCAAGCGTGGAAGATTCATTTTGCTGAATATGGCCAGGGTATCTGTATGTATCGTACAGTGAAAACGAGAGACCTTGTGCTGAAAGGTATTCCTGAAAGCATGAGAGGGGAACTCTGGCTGCTCCTGTCAGGTGAGTAGAAATAGATGAAATGGATCTGTAATGTTGAGTGAAGGATCTCCCAATTGATCTGTTTCTTCTGTGGAATTCATTATGCATAAAAGATTCAGAGGTTGGTATCGGCATTGATGGCAGGATAAATGGAGACTGACAATTACATTTCTAAAACTCAAAATAAAACTTTTTAAAGTTTAATGTAACAAATGTGCCGATAAGTATGTTTAGGACCACAGACTAAATTGGAGAGGTATCCTTGCTGGGGTTCAGCAAGCCAAAGTCCCCCTCCCCATCCTGATCTATGACTTGCAACTGAGATTAAACTTTAGCATACATTATCAGCAGAATGCTGATTTCTGACCTGTTTAGAAACACTTTACCACAGAATGTGTGAAGGCTAAAAGCTTTCGTGAAAACACAGCCTGTGTCCTGTTATTCATGCCTGGGATCCAAATACCCACCCTTGGCAAATTTGGAGCTTGAATATCCCTAGTGAAATTTCGGATTTTTACTCAGTAACAGATCCTCTTGCCATATTGCAGACTTTTGAGAAGACTTCGTCTAGCTTAAACATTGGTTTCCCAAGTGGCTTGGAGGCCTATGAGGCTGGGGGAGCATAGCCCAAAGCCCCCTTCGACATGCAGAACTAGCTGTGCCACTCTTGGGGACCCTGGCCTATCTCTGTAACCTGCTTTCTGCTTTATCAGTGTCTTCTTTTGCATTGTTAGGAGCTATCAATGAAATGGCCACCCATGCTGGCTATTATGAAGACTTGGTGGAGAAATCCATGGGCAAATACAACCTTGCCACAGAAGAGATTGAGAGGGATTTACATCGCTCTCTCCCAGAGCATCCTGCATTCCAAAATGAAATGGGTATTGCTGCTCTGAGGAGAGTACTGACTGCTTATGCATTTCGAAATCCAAACATAGGGTACTGCCAGGTAATTGACACTCCCTTCATTTTAAGAACTCCCAGTTCCTTTATCCTGTTTACATTTATTGTTGAACTGAACTGTTGGTCCTGAGGCCAAATCTTCAGTGGTTAGACAGACAGATATACATTTTACATAGAACTGATGTATACTTAGCATTGCTCTCTCCAAACCTGGGCAGCCTAATTTGCATAGTATACACATTTGGATAGTTTGCATATTAACACATTGTTGCATTGATTTTTTCCACTTTTCACCATTTTTACACTAAGCAATGATTTAAGAGAGACTACAAGTGTAAATGTTAGAGTGCTGGCCTTGAAACAAGGAAACTCAGCTTAATTCAGTCATAAGGCTTACAAGGTGAACTGTCATACTTCTTACACAAACTTACCTTTACTTATTTATATTATCTATATGCTGCCTTTCTCCCCATAGGAGACCCACAACAAGTAAAACTATAAAACAATCAGTAATTTAAAAAACACTATATAAATATCATATCAAAAGCAATTAAACATGTATCTTCTGCAGTGGCTTGTTCTGGTGATACGGATATTGGCACTCGTCACTTGAGACTTTTTTAATGAGAGTGATTGGACATTAGCCAAATGCTTTAGCTTGTGTGTAGTATACAACACATTCTTACCTCTTTAATGGCACATAATTCTGCCTTTTAAAAAAAATGCCTTTTGCCTGTTTACATTTGTTAGAGAGAAACAATTAAGAGTCTGCAATAATTTGGCTGATAATAGCTCGACTGCATAGTTCCATTCTGTGCTTGACAGTTACATTTTTGGACTATAATTCCCAGGATCCAAGTGGAGGGGGGATTGTCATCCAAAATAAAGAAATAAAAATAATTTTTTTCCTAAACTCTGGCTCCACCTCCTAAGAAAAATATTTTGCAGTCTTGTTACCACAGCGACTTTCTAAAATTAGGCTGAAAACTAGGGCTGTTGCTTGTTGAATCTGTTATCTAGACTGTTTAAGATCCAGTAAGTGTCCTTTTTAAACTTTTTCTAGGCCATGAATATTGTTACATCAGTACTGCTTTTGTATGCAAAGGAAGAGGAAGCATTCTGGCTGCTTGTGGCTTTGTGTGAGCGCATGCTACCAGATTACTACAACACAAGAGTTGTTGGTATGTTAAAGTGGATGTTTCAAGAGCCTGATCACTGAGAATATCAGACTAGTTTTTAAGCAGACCAGAAAGTGATCTGCATTTCATGAATGCAGAAGGACAGTTGAATTGGTGGGGCTCTAGCTGTATTTTGATGAATTGTGGGTTGTTGTTGTTTTATCTTTATTTGTTGGGGGGTTTTTGCACCACATCATAACCAAATGTAACCTTTCTGTGTCTTGTTCTTACATTCTAAAATAGGTTTTAAAAAATGATAACCACAGGAAAAAATAATAAATGTTGAATTATATTGATAATCATTAAAATATGGCAGGAGGACTCAACTAGTGTAGAAAATTTTAATTATCTAAATGTTTACAGTTGAAGAAAATTGACTTTCATATTGGCTTGTATTAGTTACTGCGTTGCAAATGAACGAACTAAAGCATTCAGCCTTTTAGAGTGGCCGGATACTGCAGTGCAATGTAAGCTAACTGAAAAATTCTTCCATTTTGATTTCTTAGATGGGCACCAATGTACATTCCACTGGTTCAAATTTTATATCTCAAATGCCAATGATGTCTTACAGGTGCTCTGGTGGATCAAGGTGTATTTGAAGAGTTAGCACGAGATTATATTCCCCAACTCTATGACTGCATGCAGGATTTAGGGGTCATCTCCACAATCTCCCTTTCCTGGTTCCTCACACTATTCCTCAGTGTAATGCCCTTTGAAAGTGCTGTAGTTGTGGTGGACTGTTTCTTCTATGAAGGAATAAAGGTGATATTCCAGTTGGCACTGGCAGTGCTAGATGCAAATGTGGACAAACTGCTGAATTGTAAAGATGATGGTGAAGCTATGACAGTGCTTGGAAGGTAAATTTTGCCTGCTCTTGCTTTGGTTCTATGGAAAAAAAACCTTGTCATTGTAGACATGCTGTTAGCGTTCATACCCTCCCCAGCAAAATGTGTTGGGTTTCCCCCCCCTTTTAAGTACTGTAAGTGATTTTGCACAAATGGCTTTCTGTGTGATATAAATCAAAAGTATAGACACACAATGAAGGATTTTGGGTGCAACTAATCAGCTCAATTATCCTGGTCTGGATTGGATTAGATCATGCTAAACAGGGTTGCTTTGAGGTGCGGTATGTCACTTGTGGCAATACTTCCACCTCAAATGATCCTGTGTAGCATGATCTAGACCAGTCTTTTCCTATAAGGAGAAAGAAAGCAAAAACAAAGCATTTTCCTCCTGTTTCCTTTTCTCTGCTTTGCCTAAGTTGCTTAATGATCTTGAGAAATGGGAAGCTTCCTTTCCACTCACCTGTGGAGGGGAAGGGAGAAGGAGTTTCCCGTTTCTTTTTAATTGTTGCAGCAACAGTTTCAAAGAAACAGAATTTTTTTTCTCTCTTTCCCTCTGCAGGTGAGTGGTAAAGACATTTTCCATTTCTCAAGATTAAGTGCAAAGGGACAGACAGACAGCCTCTTTGGTTCAATCCCAGTGATCACACACACTAGAAATGAACCAAAATGGAGTGATCCTATCTGCACCAAAAAAACAAAACAGTAGACCATGACAATGACCCCAAAAGTGCAGTAGGCACTGATCAAGGGCAGACCGGCTTGTGATGCCATGTATGTCATACAGGTGCCAGAAAAAAGAACACCCCAGCTTGTCCTCAAACTGGACCAAATTGCAGGACAAATGCCCGCCTGGTTGTACCCTTAGACTCTTGTTTTCTGCCATATTAATTGGCCATCAGCTAGCATTGCAGCAGTTTTGCCTGAGTCTGAGTTTTAATTTTCTCTCATTTGATCTCTCATTTGATTTAGTGATAATGAGCTCTCTTGTACTAACTCAGGTTGGTAGTTTGTCTAGCACATTACTATGAATCTTGATTGGCACTGCTGCTCCCCAGGAAAGCCTTCCCAGTGCCATTTCTGAGGACTTTTTATCTAGGCATCCCATCTCAGAGACTGATAGAAGTTGGAGTCCAACAGCATCTGGAAAGATGTAGGTTTCCTAGCACGGGCATAAATACTCAGACCTGGGTACAGTAATGTCAAAACATTTACACAGCAAATGTTTGAATAGTTCTGATGTTTTGATTCAAAATGAATAGTTTTTATGTTGTCATTGCTCACACTGTGAAGCAGCAAGACCTTCTTTCGCAAGTAGAAGTTGTATTTTTGCCACAGTGATCACAACTTGCTTGCCAGCTGAACTAGAGCATCTTAGCTTTTCCTCCATTGGTATTTAACTGAATGTGGATGAAACTACTCTTGTTCCAACTTCTGCCTGGTTTGTTTGGTTAGTAAACTTGTGGAGAGAAATGGGATATAACATACACTTCGATTAGGTTTACACTTGGAAGTCTGAACGTGTGCAATTTGATTCTTTTGCCATCTGTAGGTATTTGGACAGTGTGACCAATAAAGACAGCACTTTGCCACCAATTCCTCATCTTCACTCATTGCTCAGTGATGATGTGGGGCCTTATCCTGAAGTGGATATTTTCAGGCTCATCAGAACATCCTATGAGGTAATTTTCACCAATATACAGAAATTGAAGAGCTGCAAATTAATTTTGTCTCCTATTTGAAGGTGAAAATAGTATATTCTAAGGAGTCATTTTAGATTCTGCATCTAGCTATTTGCAGAGTGCCCAGTGTGAAAATAAAAATCTGCTTTGTGAGCACAGTGACATAGGTTTTAATTTTGAATGGTAATTTCTCACTTTAGAAATTTGGAAGCATAAGGGCAGATTTGATTGAACAAATGAGATTCAAACAGAGGCTGAAGGTGATCCAGACACTTGAAGACACTACGAAACGCAATGTGGTAGGTTCCTGAGAGTGCTTTTTCTGATCAGTTGTTGCTTGATGTATTTGGAAGCACAAACCTTTGGCGTAAACACTTTTTCTTCTTACATTTTGAAAGGTACGAACCATAGTGACTGAAACCTCTTTTACGATAGATGAGCTAGAGGAACTCTACGCGCTTTTCAAGGTATAGCAGCAGTAGTAATACATTTAGTGCCATGTTATTGGCATATTGCCCCAAAATATGCAATAAAGTTAACACATCCTAAATACCGTATGTAAAAACCGTAACAAGCACTAATGGGTTAACCATTTTAGGTAACATTTTCAAGCTGTGGTTTCCTTTCCAGCTATAACAGTACTATAATGCAGTCACATTGTTGGTCTTAGTACCAATCCTAGTCAAGATGAAATGGGGTTTTCTTAAATCATCTTTGTTTAAAAGCAGCATAGATTGGGATGGGAATGGTGACTGCTAGACTAGTTACGAAGCTAATTGTGATAATGATTCCATCATGTGCCTTGTTCTTCTTCAGGCCGAGCATCTCACTAGCTGCTACTGGGGAGGCACCAGCAGTGCCATTGACCGCCATGACCCAAGCTTGCCTTATTTGGAACAGTACCGCATTGACTTTGAGCAGTTCAAAGGGATGTTTGCTCTCCTTTTTCCTTGGGCCTGTGGAACTCACTCTGATGTTTTGGCTGCACGCTTATTCAGATTACTGGATGAAAATGGAGATTCCTTAATCAACTTCCGTGAATTTGTCTCCGGGCTTAGTAAGGAAAATGCATGCACTACGCTGTTCTTCTAAGGCTCTCCCTTCTCTGTTAACTGAAATCATTGGTTTGGCATACAGTCTTGCCTGAGACTGTTAACATTGTAGAAGGCTGTGTACATGTAAGCGCTAATAGGTTTGATATAACTGTGTTTATGTTAAGCCACATTCAGAAAGTCAGCTATATGGGTTGATTTAATATTCTGTTCTTCAAATGCAACTGTGTCTTGTTTGCAAAAAGAAGAAAAAATACTTTCTCCTTCTTGATGTTCAGTTGATATTTGTCATTGGAGGCTTGATTTTAGAATTCAAGTAAAATATCTGTTTGTTTGTTGAATAGCTACATAGCAAGACTTACTCTGTGTCATCATTGTACCTTGTTTAACATCAAGGAAGATTTACTTAAATAAAATATGGAAAATGAGGGGGAAAATCATTTCAAAAACTAAGCTGTATTTGAATGGAGTTTAAAGCAGTAGTTCCAAAATATCTGACTTTGTAGCTTTAATGGGCATATTAACTGAAATCCTATTGCTTGGTATAATAACTTGAAACTATAGTAGGCCCATTGTATAAGGGGGATTTGGTGAGTCGACTCCTCTGGAACTGCCATTATTCAATGGGTCTACTCTAATTCTGAGTTACTATACTAAACAACAAGATTTCAGCCACTGTGTCAAGAAAGGTTATACATGACAATTTTTGAGGCTTTTCTAAGAAATGTTCAGTTTATCCAATTCATGTGATATTCTCATATGCTGAGAGCTTTGTGTACTGCAGTGCAGTGATTATAGGATGATAGTGCAAATACATACAAACAGAAATGTTATGCTGATGCATTCTGGAGCAGTGGAAATGTAAACATAGTGCATGCTTAGTTTCCAAAGCCATTGAGTAACAACCAGTTCCTTTTACATGCTCATCTCTGTGTACTGGGAAGATATCCTTGTAGGGATTCTGTAAATGCTTTCTACCCCATTTCCCCCCACTTATTCGTGTTTATGGGAGCTGAATATACATTAAGCACAAAACCTTTAGATTACAGAAGATGAATTTCCAAGTTTGGAAAATTGTCCATGTTCTAAGGGTTTAAATGTTAGTAATTTTAATGACTTTGACCCAACTCCGGGAGGCAGTGGAAGACAGGAGGACCTGGCGTGCTCTAGTCCATGGGGTCACAAAGAGCCAGACATTACTTAACGACTAAACAACAACAACAACAAAATTCTAATGACAGTGAATGTGCTTTTCTCTAGGTGCAGCTTGCCATGGGGATCTTACAGAGAAATTGAAGCTGCTGTATAAAATGCATGTTTTGCCTGGTGAGTAAATATAGGCTCGTTCAAGATACTTTAAAATTCTGCTTAGACCCTGTTGCCAATGCAATCTTTTGCTTGCTGACACAGATGTATATTTTACCGACTACAGGTGACTGACTTCTTAGAGTTGCAGCTATAATGAGATGTTTGTTGTAGCCTTATTCCACCAGTCAGCAGTGGGATTTTTACCCTAGCAGGATGGATTGGATGGTAGCTGTGTAATGAGACATAAGCATAATTCCGTTTGGTTTTATTTTCCTAGATAGGGCAAGATAGTACATGTTAGTTGATAAAACAACATGGACCAAAATCCTATGATGATTGTCTAACAGCACAACATCAGTGGCACAGTTTTTGGAGGCAGATTGCTTCAAGTTAAGGAGTCAGCATATATAATATCTCTTGCTTGCTGAATTGCTCAACTCAAAGGCAGAAATCCTGTTGCTTAGCATAGTAAATTGCAACTAGAGTAGGCCCACTGAATCAATGGAACTTGCAAAGGAATTGACTCACCAAAGTACTACTGATTCAATTGGGCTTACTCTAGTTGCAATTTACTATATTCGCAATTTACTATATTGGCTATGCTGATAGAACTAATAATAATTACAGTCTTAGACCTTCAGAGCTGGAAGAGACTCCCTGGATCATTGAATCCAGCCCATCAAAGAGGCGCAGTGGGGAACTGAACTCCTAGCCTCTGGTTCCACAACCAGATGCCTAAGCCACTTAGCTATCCAGCAGTTCATGTCCAGGTTGATTTCTTAACTTGAGTCAGATCACTTCCAAAAGTCATGCTCTCTTCTTTACACTTTATATATGTAACTATCCATAGATGAAAAAATATGGGCATAAATGAAAAGGTCTTTACAGCAGTACATAGTTCCTATAGGTGTCCAGGAATTTATTGCTGTTATATTGTACAGTATTTAATAAAATGATTGATGTGTTTGAGCAATTGGGTAAATAAAATGGACAATTTTAGAGGCAGATGTTATGGGCTGGATTCAAAGTACTACCTATGGAGGTGGCAGGGTAGAAGATACGTTTCCCATTCCCTCCTCTCACCAGCAGCCTCTAGACTAGTGGTTCCCAACCTTGGGTCCCCAGATGTTCTTGGACTACACCTCCCAGAAATCCTGGCTAGCATAGGTAGTGGTGAAAGCTTCTAGGAGTTTTAATTAAAGAACATCTGGGGATCCAAAGTTGGGAACCACTGCTTCAGAGTCTCACAACAATGCTCTGTCAAGGATTGAGAAATTAGAGTAGGCCATTTAATCAGTGGAACATACAAATGAGTCGACTCGGGACATTCATGCTGATTCAGTAGGCCTACTCTAGTTGCAACTCACTGTTGAATTTCATCTGTCATGTGGTCACTGCATAGCTCCCAGTTCTGCACATCTTTGGAACAATGTTGAGATATGTGGTTTTAACTCCACTGAAGATCTTCTGCAGAACCTGGAGATGTACCCGTTTTCCTGCACGCTTCTATAGCAGAGCTATAGAAAGACATGTAGGCAGCAAGTGGTTTTGCTTTTCTCAGTCCTGTAGTATAGACACAGAATTGTAGTTCTGCTATGTACAAGTGGGTTGACTGTTGTATGTCCAAGGCATGCTGATATTCCATGCTTCTTTGCACAGACCCATCTTCTGATCCAGAAGAGCCAGATTCTGCTTTTGAAGCAACTCAATATTTCTTTGAAGACATCACACCAGAGTGTACACATGGTACAGAACTCTACCTGAGATTCTTTCTTCTTTCAAGACTATTGATGCTAGTGCTAATTATGGAGGGTATTTTATAAAGATGCTTAGTAAGTTCCAAACAGCTATCATTTCCCCCCCCCCCCACAAACCTTTAGGATGAGAATGAGTTTATGAAAGAATCTTCTTCAACATTGGATTTCTAGATTCCTATAGTGCCAAATGCAATAAGCAGATTTTCAAAGACCAATGTAGTGTTATGGTCTAGTTAGTAGTGTGCAGAGAACTAGATATTTAATCATTGTATCCTAAAGCAGTCTGTCAAAACATGTCCCCACATCTCTTCAAGCCAGTCCCACCCAAGCCTACTCTAGACACAGATTCAACAGAATAATCAGTTTACCAGAAAAAGGGAGAAGGTAAAAGTAAATATACCAATTTATACATATGTTTAGAACTACTCCACAGTACATCTGCTTGTCACTAAAAAGAACGTGTTGCATATTCCCCTCTTGCGGTTTGAAATTAAGCAAAGCCCAGTGTCAATATTGTTTGCCACCTGAGACTAGTTACAGTTCAAGAGAAATGACTTACACGGATAGATTCACTCTCTAGCATTATATATATTCATTTAAAATATTTTATCTTTTCTTTCTCCTATAAAGGCCCAAAGGTGGCTTATAGAATTTTAAAAAATGATTACAGTATTTTTTTTAAAAACTAAATGAATATCATATTAAAAACTTATAGATACAAGTAGTTTTAAAAACATGTTAAATACAGGTGTGCAGCTTGCAGTCCATTTACCCATCCTGAAATGTCCAGAAGGCCTTTATCCAAAGAACATGGCCCAGAATCCTGTTGGTTCTTAACTATGCGTAAATCCAGGCCATTACGTATATGCTTCCTCTTTCCCTGCCACTTGCACCAAGGAGAATTAACTAACCCCTTGCACAAATGGAAAGCCCCATTACTTCAAACAGGTGTGCTATGCTCATGGAAGTGTTATGCCCCATGTTTGCAAAATAATTTTGCCCATAGAAGCAAGGTCTCGGAGGGCTGCTCAGCAACTCTCAAAAAAGTCTAGCTGAAACTATATTTCCTTCGGCTCACTAATAAAATTGCACAAATCCAGAGGTTTGTCATAAGGTACTAATTTTGTTTTTTCCTCCTGAATATTATTAGTTGTTGGAGTAGATGGCAGGAACAAGCATGGATCAGAGGAAGGATTTGTTAATGTGAGCGTGAAAACTGAAAAAGGTACATCATTCATCTTGCTTGCTAACTTGGATGGTATGATCAGAAGTGTTCTTCTTTGGAAGAAACTAGATACACTTTTTCACTGCCTATTTTTGGACCCTTGATTGTGGTAGGTAAGAAGAACTCTCAGGAAAACAGAAATTACCTTAGAATGTGGAGCCAAGAGAATAAATCCAAAGCAAAGAATACAAAGGACTTGCCAAAATTAAATCAGGTAAGTTTTGTTAGCATGTAAAGAACTTTTAATACATTTTGACAAATGCAAACTATCAGATTTGCAAATGACAGATGCACAGGGAGTTTGGAACAAAACCCTTGCATTTCAACAGGGAAAAGAGGCGTATGCAGGGCATCTGAAACTGGGTATGACTTGGTAATGCCCAAATACACCCATAACAGTTGGATAGGTGGTATGGTCAATTTCATTATCACTGTTAGTAGTTCTACATTCAAGCTAAAGAAAGGATTCCGTGTCTCAGTTGCTGCCGCTAGCTACCAAGTCGTGTTGTGAAATCTGGCAGCACAAAAATGTTTTCAGCAGGTGGATGTACAGATCAATATATACATTGCTGCTGTACTATGAAAAACCCTATGGATCAGGCCCTTGTTTTTTCTTTCTTTGTATTTTGGGCAAAAATAGTAAGGATGTACTTCTGTTAGGCTGTTGCAGCAAAATTTAATTGACAAAGGGCCTTGTGACATCTTGAAGTGCCAAGAAATATTAGTTGGAATCAGTTTTATGGACTACAGCCAGCCTCATCTTAAAGGCAGGCAGTTTGTTAATCTTTAATTCGTTTTGTTGCTCACTTCAATTGTGATCATTTTTCTTTTATTAGAAATTTTGAAACAATTCATTTGAATTATATTCAGTACTGGATACTTTAAAATCAGATTATTAATCCATGGTAAAGTAGATTCATTGAATCAGTAGGACTTAACATAAATGGTGATTTAATAAGTCATTTAGTGGGTCTGCACTAGTTGGAATTAACTATTGTATTTAGTCCTATGTATTTATTTTAAAACAATTACAGTGGTGCCTTGAGTTACAAACTTACTCCATTCCAGAAGATGGTTGTAACTCAAATTGGTCTTAACTCAAAGCACCATTTCCCATAGGAATACACTGAAACGCAATTAATCTGTTCCGGCTGCCCCCCCTTACTAAAAACACACTGCAAGAGCCATCAAAGCACAGAAAGAACCCCCTCAGAATCAAACAAACCCATTCCAGCAGGGACTAAAAAACACACTGCAAGAGCCATCAGAAATGCGATGAATCTATTCTAGCCGAACCCCCCGCCCACTAAAGCACACACTTAAAAACACACTGCCATCAAAGCACAGAAACATAACCCCCCCCCAAGAATCGAACAAACCCATTCCAGCAGGAACTAAAAAACACACTGCAAAAGCCACCAGAAACGCGATTAATCTGTTCCAGCTGAACCCCCCTAAAAACACACACTAAAAACACACTGCAATACCCATCACAGCATAGAAACATAACCCCATCACCCAGCCCAAACCCACACTGCAAAACCCACCCAGAACAGGCAGTTTTTAAAAAGCAATAAAGCAGTACTTTACCAGGCAGTCTGAAACCTCCTCCGAATGCACACTCTCTAACCGCTGGGGCGAAAGAGCTACAAAGAAGCAGCCTCTTCACCAACCAATGGTTAGCAGTTCAAATTTCCCCGCCTTTTTCCCCACCGTTTTTCCAGTTGTAACTCAAAGCTCCGGTCGCAAGTCAAAGCAAAATTTTGCGGCCAGAGCTGGTCATAACTCAAATTGGTCACAGGTCAGGACGTTCATAAGTCAAGGCTGTTCTGTAGTTTTGTTGAGTTCAGTATGCTTGTAACTTACTAAAATGTATCAGTATCTGTGAACTTTGAAGTGAATACCTCTATCTCAGTGTCTGTCTGAATAATGTTCTTACACAGGGAACAGTTGTACTTTTTCTTTATCATGGTCCACAGAATTACCTCAGGGCAGATGATATTGCTGCTGAGGCTAGTCAACTGTGAGCTTAGTAGCAGGAGAGATAACGGGGCTGTACAAAATGAAATGCTGAAATATAAATATTTGAGGAGACAAATGTGTTTGTCTTCCTTCATTTAGGGTCAGTTTATTGAATTATGCAAGACAATGTATAATATGTTCAGCGAAGACCCCAATGAGCAGGATCTTTACCATGCTACTGCAGCCGTGACAAGTTTGCTTCTGGAGATTGGTGAGGTTGGTAAGTTGTTTAGTGCCCAGCCTTGTAAGGAGGCTGAAAATGGCAGCAAAGTTATTCAGAACACACTGCTTCAGAAGAAAGGGAGCCAGCAGTATCACCTTGAACAACGAGATCCTTTTCAAGATGGTTTCCTTGCTGATGAAGAAGAGAACATCTGTGGTGATGGTTCACAAATGGAGGATATTAAGCTGGAAGATTCTTCGCCACGGGATAATGGAGCTGGCTCTTCCATGCTGATTTCTGATGATGATACAAAAGATGACAGCTCTATGTCTTCCTATTCTGTCCTAAGTGCAGGCTCTCATGAGGACGACAAGCTGCATTGCGAGGATATCGGCGAGGACACCGTTCTGGTCCGAAGTAGCAACCCAGCTTCCCTGCCCAGAAGTACCAGCATTGACAGAGACTGGGCCATCACCTTTGAGCAGTTTCTGGCTTCACTCTTGACTGAACCAGCCCTTGTGCGGTACTTTGACAAGCCAGTGTGTATGATGGCAAGGATTACTAATGCCAAGAATGTGCGGATGATGGGCAAACCCATCATATCTGCAAGTGACTATGAAATCTCTGCTATGTCAGGCTAGGCAGATGAGATAGAGAGGTGTTTTTAAGAGAAAAAAATAGCTTTTTATGACATATTTATTACTGCCTGGCACTGATCCTGCTGTTTTCAAAACATGGTAGTTCTTGCTCATGTGAACTTGTTGGGATGTAAATCCATATTTACCTTGACTTATTATGTTCTTCTCTGTATGGCAAATATTACCACAAAGCTTGTCCTAGCCAGTATACATGGGGTGGGTGGTGGGATAATTGTCAGTGCTGTGTATATTATTAGCCTTGCTGTCCATGGATGAATGGCAACAAATTATTCACCTTGCACACAACAAGGTGTAGGCTTTCCAATAAAGCCTGAAATCTTGAGAGCAGTGAAGGAACTGGAAGAAATCAGAATGTCACAAACGCCATGTGAGCTACAGTGAGGACCTCTGTGGCACGAAGATTTTCACCATCCAGTTTGGAATTAGTCTACCTTTTGTTCATATAGAGCTTATTGCCTCATTAATGTAGATGTCAAAATGAAAGCCTCCACAAATCAATTGTGTGCTAAAGCTTCAGTGATCACGAAGGAACAGTAAAGTGAGGAGAAAGAAATAGAAAGGGATACTGTTAACTTGTTTAGGATTCAAAGTGAGTTCTGTGCAGCATTCCTGGTGGATGTCTCTCTCTATAATTTTTTAAAAGAGGCTTGTGATTTCTAATATTTTTTAAAATACATTCTTCAGGGATCCTGCTAAGGACTTTTCTTGACAATGGTCACTGTCCTCACCTAAACAATTCATAGTACCCCTTTTTAAAATGAGAGGATTTTATAATGTAGATAATTCCTAGTGTTGACATTTTAAACCAAACATTATCATGAATATAACATATCGTAGATTAAGAATTCATAGCCAAATTGCTTAAATCTTCATTTAAAACATTGTGATTAGCAGGAATGTAATCTGAAAAAAAATCTGCAAGGAAATGTAACTGAATGTTTGAAAGTCTTAATGAATGAAAACACTGTCACTTTATTATAGATTATAATGTATAATGTAATTTTCTGAATAAGTTGAATGACAAATGGAGCACCTGCACTTTGAATCTTTACTTCTTTTCCAGAACCGTTAAGTGGACACAGTTCAATACTACAGTGCACAGCTTCCCACACATAAAGATTACCACACACTCAGTAGCCCATTTCCCCTGTTCCATACTGCTTCTGCAGGAAAGCAGAAGACTGCTTCATTGAGCGTATGGCAATCGTATAAATGTGGGCACCGTGTCCACCATAGGAATGGATTGGGCCCAGTCATTTAAAAAATGTGTTAGCTGGTTTTTAATTCACAAATAATTAATCCAAATCGTTCTTACATGCTTGTACTTCATTTGCGGCCTTCAAAAATATTTGCATTACTGTTGTTTTATATATTGTATATTATGATCGTGTGACTTTTCCAGGTTTTTTTAGCCAAAGCTTTGCTTTCTTATTAAAGATATTTAACTGTCTCTAAAATGTTTTAACCACAGTAGGTAAATGTGAACAAGCATCTTTTTGTTTTTTTAAAGAGGACATTAAACTAATACCTGATTGAAAACTGTGGCTGCTTTTTCATGGTATAAGTTAACTCTTCTAGTGTGAACTGAGTGGCCAAAATCTTGTTGTGTATGTCACACCTGTAGAAGGGAGAGTACACCATTGGTGGGGGAGATTTCTAGTAATTACTCTTTTTTTCTGCCTTTGGCTTGTCCAACTTGTGAGTAATCAATTTAATTTCCTGGAAGCTGAGGGATAGAAGGAGGAAGTATTTGATTACTGAAAACTTCTCCCAGTTGATTTTGTCACCTTTCTGTAGCTGTAACTTATACAACAGGATTTTTTTTACAAACAAAAACAACTAAATTTAAAGTGTATTACCTTTAATGTATGTTAAAAGATTTTTTTTAATGAAGAGCACAAGGTATGATTGTTTCCTTGGCACTGAGCAAATGGCCAAGGCTATGTGGCTTTTTTGTAGGCTGTATTATTCAGGTGTGGTATTTGGAATCTCCCCCTCCTCAAAATTTCATCTTCAGAGTAAAAACCTCATGTATTACACATTTTTAGCCCTTTGGGCAGCACAGGATCTGAAATTAATTAAAGTGCTAAAGCTAATGCAAGACATTAATCACAAGAAGAATGCATGAACTGACTTCATTATTACAAAGGAACTTTACTGGTTAGTATTACAAACTTCAATTCCAGATCATCATTGGTAGTCATTGCTGTATGTGTGGAAATCATCACTGCACAGCATGCCTGATCTGTGTTTCACAGGAATAATGTCAGTATTCTAGCCAAAACACTGATAGACATTATCTGCTAAATTCCTGCAGCAAAATGGTTGTTAGAAAGAGCAAGTCATACTTGCTTAAGCAGAAAAATGCAATAGCAATAAAATAAGAAGCTTTAATATGTTTTTAAAATTGTATATTAGAATCTAGGGCAAATTTATTGGCTCATCCTCCTTTACCTTCTACTGAATCTAAAGAATATTTAACCTTGTTATTGGATGGGGACTGTACACTCCTATACCCACTTTATGCCTCAAGCTGTCCAGGAATTATACAAACTATTACCTTTTTTTCAGTCAGTTTTTCTCTTATTCTAGGGCATCAAAGATGGGAAGGGTCTCTCCAAGGTAAGATAACATTGGGCACAAACTCGCTCACTTGATAATGAAGGATGAATGATACTGCCACTAGGAACCTTTTAAAGGTAGCTGAATCAGAGGTGGAAGGGACTAGTAATAGTAATCTTAGAACTGGAAGGGCTCTTATGGATCAAGTCCAGCCACTCTCAAGGAAGCACAGTGGGGAATCAAAGTCCCAACCTCTGGCTCCACAGCCAGACACCTAAACCACTGAGCTATCCAGCAGTTCTCTTATGTAAGCAGCTGTCCATACACGCCAATCGCTCACAAGTAGTTTATCATAAACAAACGGTCTTGAAAGAGAACGTGTTCCTATCAAGGATTTTTGAGGTGCTGTGAAAAAGTTAAGACAGCCGAAATGTATGAAGCAATATTAGATCGGCCTGAATCCTGTTATACCTGCACAGGATGGCATAAATTCCAGCAGTGAATTTCTGATAGTGAAGAAGTCGGTGCTTGTATTTGTTTCACACTGACTGTGTAACCTTGGTGCATGACAAAAAGTGCAAGTGTCAACTTCTTAAGTAGCAGGGATTCACTGTTGAAATGTAATTAGATTTACACCAGCATAAAATATTCAATTAGATTCTGTCCACTCCTTTTAAAAAGGATTCGGAAATACAATTAATATTTTCCTATACTGAGGCACAATTTAAAGGTATTGATTGTGAGATTCAAAATGGTTGTAAAACAGAACAGTGGTGGAGAATGCAAGCTCTAAAAGCAGGTATAGGGGTATAACACACCATACAAAAACAGTTTCTGACCAAACTGATCTTTACCTCTGTACTCCCCCACTTTAACATTAACATTCGCACTGCAGTTCAAACATCACATTTTATTGCTTTCATACTTTGATAAACATATATTTACTAGCAGGCAAGTCTCAATCTAAAAAGATTTACAAGTAACTACAAGTGTTCTTTAGATAGCAAAGGAGTAGACATTAAATAGAAACAGCTGACATCAATGTTAATACCAGACAAAGACTCAAAACAATGGTTATTTATCAGTTATGGAACCTTACACAGCCAAGCTGTCATATCTACAGCTCTAATAGTAGAGACTGCTAAAGCAGCAGCTGGCTTTAAAAGACAAGGCTGTTACATTTGGGATCCTGGGCCAATAAATAGTTCAATACTGTACACACACAATTCCAGCAGCTGCCATAGTGCTGTGATGAGGTGCCAGTCGTGTGCATAGTGCATGCAAACTAGCACTTTGATTGCCATGGCAGCTTTCACAGCTGGAGCTCTGCATACAGTATATGTAAATACTGAACAGAATATTGGCTACTTTTTATTTCCAAATCAAAAACTTTCAAATTGATCTTTTGTTGCATCAGTGACAATGTAAGTAAACTGCCTGAATATGGATCTAATGAATAAAATAGTACAATGTATAGCTTCTGTACTTCCACCTAAGTTGTTATTGAACTCACCTATAAAAAGCCTGCATGTGTATCTTTGTAGAATGCTTTTCCACTTCCACTCAAAGTTTTGATCAACTATTTATAGCCATTTGTGCAACATTATTTTGGAGTTGTTTCCTTTTGCTTTCTTGATGCTGCTGCTCACCTTTATCTGTTACATACTAGAATCCACAATTTTGCATACCATACTTACTGATTTTTATGAACAAGTTACTGAACTTCTCACACCATACAGCGATAGATTTAATTGGTCAACTTGTTAGAACTCAGATTTTTTGTTCAGGCATGCAATTCAAAACATAGTGAATGAAATTACATAAAAAGAGATGGGTTTTTCTTCTATGTAAGTATGATGCATAAGGTTCATTCGCTTTTGGAGGAACAATGCAAAGGGGGGGGGAGTACAGAGGTAACCACGTGTTCAATTGAATACAGGCTGCACCTTCCTTTCCTAATGGTAAGGAAATGGCACATCTTGTTTCCAAGTACTCTCCCCACACTTGGTCACATTTCTCTAGTGATCTTGCACATAAATGCATGAGAAATAAACAGTGGGTATGTGTAAACTAACTCTTACTCCTTCAAAGTGAGCATAGCAGTTTGATTTCATACAAAGTGTGCTGAACTACTACTGTGGCTTAGGATTGTCACAATGCAATATTCTATTTAAATAGTAAACCTCATCTACTTCACAAAATATTCCTATTCAACATCAAGCTCTTCATGTTTACAGAGTACATTAAGTGGTGCAAATATAATTCTAGTATGGATTTATCAAAGGAAATTTGCAAATACATATGGAAACCACAAAACTATGAAACACTATCCTTCCAGGCTTGTCAAATCATCATTTACTGGACTGTGAACAAGACACAGGCAGTTATTCTCTTGCCCCTCCTCTTCCCCCAAGTAGCTAAGTTTGGTAAAGCTTTCCTGATTTTGGTTTCTCGTAGCATTCAAATCAGGCAATAGCGTATAATGATTTCCTGATTTACAGGAAATGCCTATACACTGAAAAATCTAGCAAACTAATTTAGGACAACATGGAAGATATGTGTAAGCTGGACAGAAGAATGGGAAAGAGGAGGGACACAGGCATACCACCCATTCCTGGTTCAATAAACTATCACTTAAATAATGGATGGGCAACATCTGGAGGGCCACATTTGCTTATCCTGCCTGTTTAGAAAAGTTGCTTTTGGGCATCACAACATCCAAAATGAACAACTTTACCAATTTTTGCTTTAATTGATCTGGGATTGCTCTGTCTGAACCAAGTCAGTGTGCAACCCTCTATCCAAAAGCAAAATTCACTGAGTTCACTAGGACTTGATGTTTACAGGATTGCAGCCCAAGAAGACATTGACCACTATCTTATTCAGCATTTACACATGCAGAATTCCAGCTATGGAAGGTGTCACAGTAAACTCATGAGGTGCCAGCCATGTGCAGTCACAGGACGGAGCACATAACTCAGTTAGACCTCTGCAGCTGGAGTCCTACACATGTAAAGATGAATCACAATACTGTCTGTTAAGTTTTTTGTTCCTATACCTGAAGCACATAAGATTTCACAACTGACTCTAATGAAGTCATGTTGCTTTACATAATAAAGCAAATACAAATTATTCCAACTACCAGGGAGGATTTAAAAAATATTTCCAACTGTAAAAATAGGAGACATCTGCTTACTAAAGATTCTCAAGCTCTGATCAATAGCACCATTAAAATATTACACAAAATAATACTCGTTAACATCACCTCATTTTGTGCTTTGCTGATAACCTCTTTTCATTCAATGTTTTATTCATTTTTTTAAAAAACCAAGCAATTCTATATCTGATCTAGGTTTAAGGTAGTTATTTAAACATCAGTTCAAAGAACCTTTAATGTACCTTCTTGTTGAACACTAACCTTCTAGCAAAGTAATGCTTAATGATTATATATGGAGTAATCGTTTTCAGGTAAAAGGCTGAAGATTGTGATTTGATGTTTTCTCTTGGTATGCTGCCCAAACAAAACACTATCCAAACTTGCCAAAATCAACCATCAAATTGTCAACTACCGTAAAACAGATCTGGGGAACATGTGGTTGTCAACGTGTTTTTGAACTGAAACTCCTAATGATCTGGAGGGACTCAATTACCAACTCCAATCCTAATCCTCAATATCTTTTCATGATGACCCTGCTCTACATAATAAAATGTGGGATAATGAAATTCACCATTATCATAATGAGCCCCACATCTTTCTCCTGAGCTAGTGGTAAGCTATTGATAAAATGTTGTTTTCTAGGGATCCAATTAGCTGATTTGGTTTACTGAAAGTCAATGAAAAATGCTAAATCCTGGAAATTCAAAAGACAGGTTGAAGAATAACAGACAGTAAGGGTGCTGCAGTTGAAGAGTTACACAATTGTTTTACAAGGATATGTACAGAAACGGGGCTTCCTAAAATTAGCTATTATGAAGTGAAAAACAAAAACATCGTAAGTGCTTAAGATGACATGCCCTGAAATCTTCTCTAGTGTACTCATTTTGGAATCTTTAATTTTCTGGTATTTATATTGAATGCACAAACTAACAAAAAGTATTTCTTACCCAAGGAAAGCATTAAAAGCATTAAAAGCCTCATGGTTGAAGAGAAGCGCTGTCTCTTCTTTGTAAGAAGACAGCGCTTAAAGAAGGAAATATACTGTCGAACATATTGGTGGAATAAATGACTCAAGCACTTTGAAAACTGCTTCTGTGTAGCACTTCTGTATTTAATATAGTGGAACTGGTTTTGAAAAGATAGAAATTATGATTTTTACTCATAATTTCAAGGAAAAACTCAATTAGAATTCAATATTCCATCACCAAATGTACCCATCATAGCAAATTATACTAATTTCAGCACAGATTTCAGAAGGCCTTTTGTATACGTTCTGATAAATCAGAAATCCAATGCTCATATATAACAGACACAACAGATTTTCCACTTTCAGTATGAAGAATCCCTTGCTCACTGAAGAATCAGAGCTGTCTTTGTGTACTAGAATTTACTGACAATTAAGTTACATGAATGCTTGTAATGCACTCCAATGCAAATTTCTCTTGTATGAGTATTTTATAGCAGAAAAGATACCTCAACGTATAAAATGAAGACAGTGAAAATAAACCCTTCACCAACACCCTCTATGTCTACAATGTTCTGAAAAGCTAAACTAGATGAGACATTGTCCTTACATTTACCAGCCACACAATTTTTTTTCAAACATGAACTGCAAGTACAGTTCCCAATCTGCTTTGGGATTCTAGTATAGGGTTGGAGAGATTTAATGCTCTGTGTCCCCTCTCCCCAAGTCTTGATCATTCCATTTGTTCCTGATTTCTGCACTGTTAAGAAAGCTTCCCACTCAATCCAATAAGGGAAAGTGTGTGTATGTTTCAAAATGCATAAGGATTAGGCTCCACAATCCATAACATACTCTTAAGAAGGCAATCAAGCAGTTGCTAGCTAATTTAGTCCAATGGCACGTGGATTATGTTTCTCTAGCTGTTTTCCTGCTCTGTTTCTTGCTACATCTACCAGTTATCAGTTGATCAAAAGAAGTACTGTACAGATTTTGCTACTCAGATATCAACTGTGATAACAGCAACCATTAGGAACAGTTCAGCATTAGGATTGTGTTAACTCTGAAATATGGCTCAACTGTAGTAAGTAAAAGGCACTTTAAAAGAAAAACTGAAGTATTCAACTGATCACCTCATCCTGAATCAGACACATATGAACGTAAGACTAGCTACAAGTCAAGCTTGTTTAGAAACATGTTAAATAAGCTTATCAGATTTTCAATAGATGTAAAAACCTATTGCTTAGATTGTCTATGAATATATTGTCTATGAGTTGCATTCCTCACAACAGACATGTCTAAAAGAAAGCCAGCTAACTGGCTAATTACTAATGATCTTTTAATAAAAGTCATGTCCTAAATACAGTGGTGCCCCGCATAGCGAGGTTAATCCGTTCCGGATTAACCCTCGCTATGCGGAATCGTCGCTAAACGGGTAGGGAAAATGTATTGAAACGCATTAAACTTAGTTTAATGCGTTCCAATTCCTTGCTTACTTACCTGTTCAGCGAGGATTCCCCTTGCCGGCAGCCATTTTCGCACCCTCGCTAAGCGAGGGCAGGGCGTGAAAACGGCTGCTGGCAGCCATTTCCGGGCTTCCGGCGGCCATTTTGGAGCCGCCGAACAGCTGTTCGGCAGCTCCAAAATGGCCACCGCAATACCCGATCTTCGCAATGCGGGTTTTCCCCATTGCGAAGATCGGGTATGTTTCCGTATAGCGATCCCGAAAAAGGGATCGCTATACGGAAACATCGCTGTACGGTGCACTCGCTAAGCGAGGCACCACTGTACAACTGCTAATCCCAATAAAAATAACCCTACTGAATCAACAGCATTTAAACAAAAGATTATTTACTATTCGGTGACCGAAATCCTGTTGTGTAAGTTATGCTTGTGGAAAGAAGAGGACATCACCATCAGGGGGAGATTTCTGATAATTAAATTACTTCCTTCTTCTGTCCCACAGTTTATTTAACTCACAAGTAATCCACTTCATCTCATGGAAGCTGTGAGACAGGAGAAGAAAATTTTAAATTATCAAATATCTGATGCCAGATGGAGTTTATGGCACAGGGAAATTTTTGATAATTCCTCCTGGCCCATGGCTTCCATACAATGGAAGTGATTACTCACAAGTCACAGAGCAGAAGAAAACCTTTAATTATCCAAAATCGTCCTCTGCTGGTGATGCAATCACTTTTCTGCAGAGATAGTTTACACAAGATTTGAGACACAAATTGATTCAACCGGTCAACCTTATTAGGGACTAGCAACTGAATTTATGCTTTGAGTTCCAATATTCTATGTTTCCATGTCAGATAGTATTAGCTGACAAAAGAAGAAATGAGACCAGTAGTTGATATAATGAAAATCACATGGCCTTAAATAAATATAGTATAATATACAGAAAATATATTGAACTGGATTAATTAAATTAGCTTGTAGCTCTCATTGTCTCATGGAAACAGCTACTCAAAACAGAGGCTTTAATCTGGCAATTTCTGGCTACATATTTTAAAGAAAAAGAAAAAAAATATTAAACAGATACTTACAGAACAATCATAAAAACTGTTTTCATATGTCCAAATAATTTAACCTTTTTAAAGTGTCTGCTTCTCAAAAGTGTAAAGGGCTATATATGCCATTGTTAGAAAAGTAACAACACATAATATATGGATCTAAAACAAAAACTACATCTATTAATGAAGTATTGCAACATTTCTTGTAAACTAAGTACAGATCTAATTTGAAAAACAAACTATTGCTAGATAATACTGATGTAGCCTCAGATTATTTACACCTTCCACCTGGTGAAAAGTTGTGAGGTCCTGTGATCCAGTGAGGATCTATTGTATTTTTAAAAAGTTCATACCTTTAGCAAATACAGTACATTCCTAAATAAGTGTTGATTGTCCAAGCTTTCAAGTGAATTTTAAATTAAAAAAATAGATGTATAAAAACTTTGATCACGGAATGACATTTTTGGTTAAATGTGAGAATTCCAGTTAAGTGCATAATTTTTATGAGCAGAACCCGAAGGGCTACACATTACTGTTTTCATTTTTTAAGGCAAGGACAACATCATAATTCAGGAGATGTCTTTTGACTTTTTGATGAAACCTCTCTCTGTATTGATTGAAATACATAATGCTTTCTGGTTTTTCTTCAAACCAAAATTTGTCAAATTCATAAGCCAAATAGCCTGCAAAGACAAAAAACCACAAACATTTATTGAAATGACATATTAAAACATATTATTTGCTGGTATAATTTCAAAAATGTAGCCAAGCCAAAACTAATATGGCTTGATTCCCCAAATATGGTTAGAATCAAGAACTACATCCAACATATCCCCGCATTTATAAATAGGCCAACATTAGAGAATGCGACAGTGGTTATGTCGCATTATTATCAATCAAGGGCAGGATTTTCTCTATGGTGCCCCATGGACGAGCAGACCATGGAAGGAGGTTCTCCAACTACTACTATTGCACAAAGCCATACAGACCTGCTCCTGCTTTTTAAAATAGTGGAAAAAGCCTTGATTAAATGTGTTTCTTTTTCAGAAATGTGATCAATCCAGAGAAGCTCTACTTTCACCTACAGAAGAGAGACTACATTTGCTGAAAACCTGACCAAATCTCACCCAGGGCCTTCAGGAAAAGACAGCCTTGTGGTAGATTTCAAATGTTTTTCATAAAAATTACTACATAATCTTTTTCCACATGCTGCTGTAGTTACAAAAGCCAAACATTTGATATACTAGTAATAATCACTGCCTACTAATTCATGAAAAGCAATGTCCATAAGTACAGGATCTGATCATCTATTGAAAAGAAACTTGCAGATACTTACAATAAAACTGATGGAAGTCTTTCAGATTTGGAGCACCAGGAACCAGGTTGTAGAAATGAGTTTTCAAAAAACCGTTCTTTAATAAACTATAAGCCATTTCTGTCAAATTGATCCCAACTATTGCATAGGAGTATCTGCAACACACATGACATTCTCAGTAACTAGAAGAAATAATCCTCTGCATTTTAAGCATTATAACATTCAAACCACTAAAGACACTTCACTTTTGGCAGCCTTGAGATGTCATTAAAATAAAACTATCAACACTGTTGGGGGTTGTCTGAGTTACAAATTCATTCAATGTATAGGTCTCACCATTGTTGCAATTTGTGGCATTCCGTATTAATGACTTTTAGATAATAGCTTTTAATTTCAACTTTAGCTCTAAGCTCTTTATTGCTTTCACGTATTCTGGCTGAAATAGTGTCTACAAATAGTGTAAATAGACAATGCGATGTGCCACCAAAACCCAGAATGAGGGTAAGCAAGTGATGATTCCACTAAGCACAGATATTATATTGGCCATGGTTTATTCAGCATTAATAACACATAATGCTTTTCTGCACTTGCACTCATAGCAGCAACAAAAAACTTAAGTGCAACTGTTACAAAATTTGTTCCTCACTCAAACCAAGGAATGCTTCTCAAACTAAAGGGAAATCCCACAGACATGAACATCAGTCATGTATGCACTTTAACTGCAGATCAAGAGAAAGAAAGCATGGAAAAATTCTATGATGAACTAAAAGCTACTATAAAACACATGGAAAAACAACATCTACATTCCATAAGGAGAAATTTTTATACTGAGATAGGGAAGGATTATGGACTAGGAACATAGAATGAAAGTATAGAATAAATAATACAACTTTATGAAGAACAACTTGCAGTTACAGTGCAACATTCAAATTGCCTACAAGGAGACAGTACACAAGTACAATCCTTGGAAAAAACATGCTAACAACACCACAAAGAGCAACATGAATTATGACATATTTAATCAGAAGTATTGAAAAAGCATTCAGTCAGGCAAGGTGCATCCCAGAATTGATGTAAATTCAGATTACATGATATTCATGTCATCACTGCAGTTTACTTCAAATTAAAGAAACCAGAAAGAGTAAAAACCTGAAAAACTATGGAAAATAAAAGGATTCAACAACAAATGCTCCTATGGAAAGCATTTGTAAAGGCATCCATAACATTATAGATTCATATAACTGAAATATAAAGTGCACATTCTCTGCTGGCAAGAGGTATCAATAACTATGGCCAAAAAATGGAAGCAGAAATGTAAAAGAAAAATGGACTGAACAACAGAAAAAATATCAGTGCTAATGGAAGAGGAATGAAAATGGAAAGGTAGAAAAATCATCAAATACAAAGGCTGAAATCCTCTCGGCAGAGCAAAGTTTATTCAATGAAGTCCTACCACGAAAATAAGCCCCAGTTAAGTGAAACCCTGCCCTCCACCACTGTGCAGCAACCAAAGGAAGAAGACATGACAGTAAAATAAAACATCCCCTGAAAATAAGCCCTAACGTGTTCTTTGGAGCAAAAATTATTATAAGACCCTGTCTTATTTTCGGGGAAACATGGTATCAGTAAAAAAGCGTTGAGGTTAAGAAATGCAGTTACAAATTCAAAATTACAGTGTAGATAATGATGGTACATGTACACATCTTAGAATTTGGCTGAATGACCAGTAGCACAAATATGACACAACCAAGGTTCCCTCTAAGGTGTGCACCTATGTGTGCACAACTCTGTCCCCTTCCACACAGCTTTCTCCTCAGTTTTCAGACCTTTGGTTCTAGTTGCGACGGAAGCCTGCATGGGGGAAATCACTCATGCATGCATGAGTGGCAGAGCCCTGCCCAGCACGGCTGAAAATTAAAGGAAATGTTGGACACAATGGAGATCCAAATAAAGATAGCCAGTAGCAGATAAAGAATGTAACATGCAATATAAGTTAAAATTGGTTTCAGAATGCACATTATACTGTGCTATGTATTCTTGATTCTAACGTATAGGATGGAAGTAGGATAGAAACAAGGACTTTTAACACATGCAACTGAAAGAAAGATGGAAGTATTTGAAATGTAAATTTATTGCAGGGTGCTCAGAAGTTCTTAAATTGAGAATATGATGAGGAAGTACCAATTAATAAAGTACCTTGCAGAAAACTAGAATGCTTCAGTCACATAAATCGAAAGGGAAAGTATCAATTACGGTATTACAGCTGATCATTCAATCAAGATAAAATGACTAGGAAAAGAAATAAAGAAAGAATTATTTATTGGCCAAAGAAACTGGCAAAATTTCTGCCAGTATATTCTGGCAGAAATGAGGAATATACTACTACCAAAAATGCATAAAACTTCAGTCAAACCCAGGTTATGTAACAGTAATAAGAAATGAGAAGAGAAGAAGGGACAGTGTTGCCAGGGCACCAATAGGCCAATTTTGCTGTGGCCCAGACAGCTGAGGAGAGGAGAAACAGATAAAGCATAGCTAGCAAAGAATTGTTTCTACATTTGGTTATCTCTAAAGACAAATAGCTTATTCTCATGAGTATTTTCTCTCCATCCATCCATGCCCCTTTAAAAGCAGAGGATGACAGTGCTTTGAGATTATTTACTGGAAAAGAAATAGATCATGTTTTTCAACTTTAAGAGCCAATTGTGACAAGAGCTTCATTGAAAAGTAGCTTACCCTAATTTTGGATGATTTGAACGAACAAGGATCTGACGAGCTTCACGTGGATAATGTTTACTAAAATAGCTGAAAACACACATAAAGACAGTTTTCTTAAGTTAACAAGAGACCACTTATGGAACACCCACATTTTAACCATTTATTGCCTAATAAATTGTTCTGTGATTCAATTAATGTAATTAACAATTTCATAATTAGTAGATAATAGCTTTTGCAATAATTAGATTGGGAAACAGGAATTTGAGCACTGTATCCAGTATTCAATGGCTTGCCTCTCTTCTCAGTAACTCACATTAGCCAAAGCATACCCACTCTTATTGAAACATTTGATTTTAAATCACGGGAAGATATTTTGACTTACAGGAGATTAGCTAATCCAAGCATGCCCATTCCTCTGAAGTCTGTTTTAGGGTCATCACCTTGGAAACCAATGTCACACCACTGTTTCGTGATTCTAGCCTTCAGTTTTTCATGTGGCATCAACAAATTCCAAAGCTGCATAAACATGCCTCCATTAATAGATTTATCCATATTTTCTCAATATCATTCTAAATACTAAGCATCAGAGACCAGGATGCTTTACTTTTAAAAAGGCAAACAACGTATCAGCAGGGTACTAGCCACAGAAATGTATTAATAAGGATGCTTTTCTGTTTGGCAGTGTCAAACTAATTAATTATGATCAGGTATACTGGTTAAGAAATCTGTTGTGGAAATGCAGTTATCCTGCCCTCCACAGACCATGTGGCAAAAAGTGTGACTATGTGTGTCCACAAGCTATCCTCCCTCTTGAGTACACAGATTTCACATGAGCACTAGTTGGACCATTTACCAAGGCAGTTGTAAGTCAACTGTTTCATTTTAATCTCTCTCTCTCTCTCTCTCTCTCTCAACCCCATCACCCCACAAAAATACATATTTCCTTTTCAGACTGCTAGTTGGCAAAACAACGATATAACCAGTGCTGTACTTGATCAGCTCAGCTCATCCATTACCTTGCCAACAGCAGCCAAAGAAATACTTCTAAAACCTCACCAGTAGGACATGATTAGTCTGGTTCCAGCTCTTTAGGAATTAAAGACATACCACCACCAATGAATGTGGGGCTAGCAGTTTTTATACAACCAGGATAACAACCATTTGTAGCACTACCCTCCCATGAATTTCTGTAATCCTTATTTTTTCAAAGCCAATTAAACCACTAGTAGTCCCCACATCCTGTAGCACTGAATTCGATAAATCATTTATGTTGTGTGAAGTACTTCCCTTTGTGTGTTCCAGTTAATGCTAAATCAATTTCATTAGATGACCTTGTGCTCCGCACTAGTCAAAACTTTATAAATCTTGAGTACTGACAAGACTGCTGAAGAAAGAGCCTTACTGCATTAGGATTTAGGCACTGCTTTATCCATAAAGGGTCATTCAGTCCTTAAGATCATTTAGGGAAGCTTTCTTGGGGTGCCATATGCCTCTCCAGTCTCCTGTTTAGTTATCCAAAGCAGGGCCTTAACAATGTGGCACCCACTACGTGAAACATTCTTATCTAACAAATCTGACATATCCCTATAATTTTTTAGTTTTAGGTACATGTTGAAAACATACTTATTTATGCAGGTCATCAATATACAAATTAATCTAACACATCTTTTATACTCTGTTGTTTATTTATACATTGTAAAGACATGTTATATTTTATTGCTGTTGTATATTTTTTTAAAGTTTTTAAATTTATATGGCTTACAAATGCAATAAATGATAAATAAATTAGCCGGGACAACTTCAATCTACTGTGTGGTGTCAGTATATCATCAAACTATACATACTTTTTCAAAAGTTCTTAATTTGAACTTTATTTATTTATTTATTTATTCATTTATTCATTTATTTATTTATTTATTTATTTAATTAATTTGTACCCCGCCTATCTGGTCAGTGAGGACCACTTTTTAGGTATATTATAATGAAGAACTTCAAGGCAAGCATATTTTCACCTCCATTAGTTGTTCCTCATGTTCTTTATTGTCTGAGTTATATGGATCTTTTCTCAGATCTTCTACAGCCAAATAAAGTTTCCTACAGCCAGATATTTGGAGCAAACATAACTGGAGCTTTGGTGGAAAACTGTAATAGAAAAATTACACAAAGAAAATTATAAACAAAACATGAATATTGGTAAGTAAACAGCTTTCGGCTACAGTTCAGAAGGACAGCTATCTTTTCTGCTAGTACTGGTTATAAAGTGTTAAGAGGTAGCACTTCTCAAACAATCTAGCCTGCTATTCCTAGAACTAAGCCAAAGACAAGTTTTGTACTTACTAAGTTAGTTTTAAATGCTACAGAATCAAGTTGTGAGGAAAAATTAAACAACTTCCAAATATTTTAATTTTTCTTATCCAACTGTTTAGTTTGCTTTCACCCTATCAACTAAGATCTTAACCATAAACTATAAGAATTTTTTTAAAAAACTGCATTCAATGAGTTGTTGCATGTTTCCTTATCCTATAAAAGTTTCAGTGCATAGTCATTTAGATTAGGATTAAGGTTGCAGATAGGGTTTAATGCACACATTTTATTTCCTGAACCCATGAATCTCTGTGGACCAGAAGGGAAACCTCTGCATTTCATCTGAGACTCACAAAATGGCATAAATTTCAGTAGCAATTCAGAAGTCAGCATTTGCTTTTCTGATCATATGTCAAGCCATGCAATCGGTGTGCAACAGGAAATGCACCTGCTGACTTAAGTAGCAGCAATTCACACTGAAACTTACCCAATGGACTTATATTGACACGTGTAAGTAATAGCACAGTGGCCAACATACATCAAAGTCAGGTGTGTGGTGTTTTGTTTTGTTTTTGCATTTTATAAAGATCAATTTACCAAAGAACATATGTGAAAACAAAACGTGACACTCAGACTCAAAAGAGGGAGTACCAGCATACCTTGTATCTTTTTGTATATTGATTTTCTTTTCTTGTATGATGAGTTTCACATATTTTTCTACTTCATCTTCAGCAGCGTTCACAGCATTTTGTAGAGCCTGATAAATATAAGGTGAAAAAATCAGGATATCTTCTGACTCAACACAAAATCTACTGTATTAAGATTAAGGAAATGTTTGGATGATTTACTAAAAAATGACAGATCTGTCCACTGATAGTAACAACTGTACTCAATATAAATAATAATAGCTGATTATTAAATATGGGCTGCCAGCAATTACATATTATTTGAATAACTGTATGAGACTTTAATCATCTGGTTGGTATGCATTTAAAAATATGCTGAAAAATACAATCTGAAGACAAATACATTATTTGTTCATTTTAAACGACACATACACTTTTGATGGCAATCTCTTTAAATCAGGCATTCCCTTTTTTGTGAAACAGAGGAGAAATATCTCTTCTAAGATGTGCTCATCACCAGCAGTTTTTGTAAATATTTTCTGGACACAAACTAGCTCCCAAAGGTGATATGCACCTGACAGAAAAACCTATCAGTGGAATTGATAGGGGAAGCCCTCTGTCCTCTGCAGGTTCTGGTTGTGAAACTTTCCAGAACAGGTTTTCAGGCAGCACAAAGGGCAGCAGTGGCCGAAGAAGCACCCAGCTGCTTGTGTGATGTTGCACTGGGGGCATGTTCTAGCAGTACTGGTTTTAAAACTAGATTTTGTAATAAATCGAAATGTTACTTAAACTGATATGCAGCACTATCTGAAGCACATTTATGACAATGAGTGTGGCGATTCCACCCATTTTGAGTTTGTATGTATAGATGTATCTATAATTATTTATTTATTTATTTAATTTATATGCTGCCCACTCTACCCAGAGGTAAGGTATGTAAGGTATGCGCTGCATGCCTATACAATGGACATGTCTGGATAAAGTGATGGCACCTGAAGGACAGAATGATGATTGGTTAACATGATGGGCAAGTTGTGAGAATCGGGTCTGTGTGTGGTGACAGTTTAGTGAGAATCAGAGAGAGATTGGAAAAATTACAGCAGAGAATCAGAGTTGACAGCTGAAGAGAGTGAGAAGTCTACTTTATAGTATTTTAGGAAAAGTAGTCTGTGAGAGAGTTTATGAGTAAAGACTATCCATATAGTTTTTAGAGTGTGTGCATCAAAAAGATTGGACATTTGTAAAGGAATTATTTTGATTGTTAAACAGAAATGTATTTACCATCTAGTTGCTTTAATTTTTTATCATTCACATATTAGAACCTACCTTTCTTGTCAGACCTGTTACCAATGATCCATCAATTAAATCCTATCTATTTAAACCAAACTATCCTCCATATTTATTTTATGCATATTTTATGCATATTTATGAATAAATAGGCCAAATTATTAACACGCAAAATATGCCCATGTCCCAGGAAGCTATGCATTACTGATAGGAACACAGAGTTTAATTGGAATTAAGAAACTCTATCACTAAACACTTGAATTATCTAAAATACCAACTTGGAGCACAGGAGTCTCTGGCCTGGACAGCAGAGAAAGAATAAACTCAAAATACTCAGCTAGGTTTTGCGGATGGCGGTTCTTTCAACTTAAGAGGTGCCTGAGTGGTTCCTGTGACTGCCTGAGGAGCACATGACCCAGCTAGTGCAACAATCAGAGGCAAAATCAGTGCTTTCTAGGGCCAGGATGTTGCACTGTGCTTACCTCTGTGGGACCTGTTTTCAAATAAATGGATTTAGGTTTGTAGCCTTACTTAACAAGCATGAAACAATAACGAAAAGCTGTAAGGCCACATTCACACTATCATATGAAGTCCATGAATTCTCCCAAGTCAGGAATTATACAAATAAACCTTGCCTTCAAGAATACATTGAAACCTTGCTTTAGTTTTAATATAATTGAAAATGTGAAGAGTGTCTGAGAAGTTGTAAATCTAAATACAGTAGAGCTGCGCTTGGATTTAAACTGATAACATTTCAAATTGCCATTAAATTTTGCTGTACACACTAGCATAAATTTTAAATAAACGAATAAATAAATAAATACCCAGAACATGGTTATTTTCAATCATGTGGCCTTTGAAACTTGAAGCCCACACAGTCATTATGAGGAGGCCCCAAACCACCCAGAAAACTTTTGTTCTGATTTTAGAAACAATACAGAGCAGAGAATACATTTGAATACAGCATGTTGTTTGCTTTAAATAGCTTACAGCTGAAGCTCATCAAAACTGGGAGGCAAACAAGAAAACCCAAATTTAAGCACTCTAGCATCCTGTTACACAGGGGCAATCAAATGTCTTTGGGAAGCCTGCAAGGAGGACATAATAACAACTTTGCATTTGCACTGCCAAAAATTTGATATACTGCCTCTCATACTGGAGGCAATATTATCATTGTGACTAGTAGACATTAATTAGCACAATATACTAGCCCAATGGTTCCCAACCTTTGGTAAGCCAGACATGCTTATACCATGTTTCCCTGAAAATGAGACAGGTCTTATATTAATTTTTGCTCCAAAAAACACATTAGGGCTCATTTTCAGGGGATGTTTTGGTTTTTTCATGTATAACAATATACATTTATTCAAATACAGTCACGTTATCTTCTTCTGGTTGCTGCAAGGGCAGGGTTTCACTTAACTAGGGCTTATTTTCAGGGTAGGGCTTATATCACGAGCATCCTGAAAAATCATACTAGGGCTTATTTTCATGTTAGGTCTTATTTTTGGGGAAAGAGGGTATTGCAGCTCTCAAAAACTCCAATCAGCACAGCTGGTGGTGAAAACTCTGGGTTACCCAAGGTTGGGAACCACTGTGCTGCCCATTCTTACACCTTATTATGTCAGAGATAATTCCAGCTGCATGCAATGTTCTGAAGACATCTCATCATAAACCACAATGTCTCTGCAAAAGAAAATGTTAACTCTTTAGGCCAGGAGGCAAAACAAGGAATAATAAATATTGTAAGCTTCAGATGCACTTCCCATACAGCCCAACCTGTGCATGTAGAAAAAAGGTTTTGAAATAGGTTTTAGTGTACAAAACAATTTGATACACCATGGATCCTTTCAAGGTTTTAAAAAAGGCAAATATCTAATTACATACACAAACCCATCAGTTTGTCTTTAGATCATGCGCATAACAGTAGAGATATCCCACCTTATACTTTGATGATTCCAATGAGTATTCTGTAATAAGATAAATATGTGTAAGTTATTAAATAGTTCACAACATCTAATGTTTTATTTCTTAGGTAAAGGTTCTCCTTGACATTTAGACCAGTCATGTCCAACTCTAGGGCACAGTGCTCATCCCCGTCTCCAAGCCATAGAACGAGCATTTGCCCGTAGACAGTTTCCATGGTCACGTGACCAGCGTGACTAGACACGGAACACCATTACCTTCCCACCGTGGTGGTACCTATTTATCTACTCGCATTTTTACATGCTTTCGAACTGCTAGGTTGGCAGGAGCTGGGACAAGCAACAGGAACTCACTCTGTTGCGTGGATTCGATCTTACGACTGCTGGTCTTCTGACCTTGCAGCACAGAGGCTTCTGTGGTTTAACCCACATCACCACCACGTCCCACGTTTATTTCTTAGTTACAAATAATTAATTGGAAAACATAATGGTGACAAAGTCAAAAGAGAAATGATTATGTCCAACCTCTGGTACAAGAGGAACAAGATGAAGAAAAAAGAACTGTGACAACAGTTTAAGATCTTGGCACACTAAAAATATGCTTAACCACTCAAGTGTATTAAAAACAGCAATAACAATAGAAACTAACAAAAGCTTATAAGAAATTTAATCTTTTCTATAGTTGTATTTTACACCACTTCCATACCAATAACGCCATGAAAGCACTTTTCTATATTTGACCTAAATTCACACAAATGCATCCTATTGTAGAAAGCAACGACATTCATACATCAACGTGGAACCATTCTGAGAATGTATTAGTATAGTATTGTGCTACCATAAAATCAAGAATTCATCTTTTGTTTCAAAAATCAAAAGAATGTTTTGCACACTATAATGTAACAGGACAAAGCTTGCAACAGGAACCTGAGATGCATAAAACCAGAGAAGAACAGGAGAGGAAGAAAAGTCTGTGGCTTTCACTGGCTGAACTGTTCAAATGAAAAGGAAAAGCAAGAGAGACAAGGCATGAGGAAGCAGCACAAGTGGAGATTAGGAGGTAAGGTGGACAGGTGGACATTGAGAGGCATTAAAAACGGTGAAAGCCAGAGGAGATTCCAGAGAAGGAAAACAGGAGTAAGACTGGCTGGGAAAAATACATGTTGCTACAACTCTGAAAACAACGCTGAATACCTTAATTTGAAATAAACATTTCAAATATACATATCTATATGTTCTAAAGTTTCAAAAGATAGTACAGTAGTCATGTTAGTCTACTGCAGTACGTCAAAGAGTCTGGTAGCACTTTAAAGACTACCAGTCTTATTTATCATCAGCAACATTCCACAAATCTGATGAGGCAGGCTGTAATCCATGAAATCACATGCCAAATAAAACTGGTTAGTGTTTCAAGTCCCACTTCATAGCTTTAAATACTTCTATCAAAACAGTGTATATAGTGAAAAGATACAGTGTAAAAAGAAAAGGGAAATGCTCAGGACACTGCACTGCGTAAGCTGTCTCCTGAATGAAAATTCAAGAAATATACACTGATTTCCAGACTTACAAATCTTTATGGAAGTTGCAACATTTTAAAATTATTTCTTGACCTTTGGTTAAAAACTATCCTAAGAGACTGCTACATTTTAATTTATATATAATATGTTTATTTACCTATGTTCAGTGTTCTTTCTGCATTTTTCCTTGAACCATCACAGATACGCTGCAGTTCACATTTTCCAGTCAGCTGTCTTAGGATCCATTTTAACCAAAATCGAAAGATATTTCTATACAAGTATCTCCATAAGTTTACAACCATTTTCTACAAAAATGCATAAATCAAAACAAGTGCCTTAAAAAACAAATCCTATAAAACCCTGTTCATATTTTAAAATGTATGTGCAAACTAATCATGTTTACTCATAAAACATTGCTGTGTTCAATGGAAAAGCCCAAGTGACTATGCTAAATATAGGCTGTAAAACTTTAATTCCAATTTCAAACTATTCTAAGGCCATATTCTACCCGAAATTAAACAAAAGCCCTGTCTTTAAATATCCTCTCACACTAGTGAAATCAACAGTGCAAATCTATGAATATCTCTTAAATAATAAATCTAAGTGCAAGAAACATCTTCTCCAAGTTAAGTCTGAACAGAACTGAAGCCAGCATTTTGAGGACTCACAACCTTACTTTCCTGAAGGCAAAGCCTTGCTCTTTCGGGCTGTTTACTTTCTGAGTTTGTTGTTTTGGTCTTATCCTTCTCAAGTAGTGGTTCCCGTACTCAAGGGTTCTTGGACTATAACTCCCAGAAGCCTTCTTCATGTGTCTTCTTGCTCTATTGGCCAGGATTTCTGGGAGTTTTAGTCCACGAACATGTGGGGATCCAAGATTGGGAACCACTCGTTAAAAGCACCAAAGACCAATATTCTATTGCTAGTCTCAACTAAAGCAAATTCATTGACTTGGTGGCATTTATAGGAGCATCAGTTTATCATCCAGCAACAGACTTAATCATTTCTACTTGTGGTGGGAATAGCAGTAGGATATTGGTATGACATTTAATGAAAATCACCTCAAGATATAAAGGTACAGGAATACAACAACTGATAAACTATACTACGTACAGTAGTTAGTGTTTGACTTGACTGATGCTACTGTCCTTGAATATGTCTGCATGTCTACATGAGAACCATGCAATGAACCATTAGGTTAAAAAGCGGTATATAATTAAGCAAGTATTCCAGAAGCCTCTAAACTCCTTCATTAAGGACATGTGAAGTAATGTTAACAAAATGGTACTTTTAAAGAGCAGGCGGGTTTGCCACCCGTAACTTTCAAGACCGGGATTCTACCAATGTGTTACTGTTGCTTTCAGAGACCGGTGTTCTCCTATTGACTTCGGCCACTAACAAGACTGCTTTCGTATCATTTTAAAAACAAGCATTTGGAGAAGGCATGGCTAGTTCGGTTTGAATTGGCCACGTCAGCGTTTCCAAAACGTCTTTTCGGCTACGTAAGGAGGAGAAACCCTTCCCGCCGGCTTCCGAAAGGTACCTGATCCCGGAAGCTAACCATGGGCTATTGCAATAGCAGGTACGTTGACCAGAGGCGATTGCCATTGCCGCCGCCGCCACCACCGCCACCCCCGCTCGGTTTTGCTCTTACCGCCCCCTCCCGTGTGCGCTCCACCAGAGGGGCGGCGGGCAATCGCCCCCTCTTTTAAACGCTCCCAAACTCCGCTCGCATCGTCCCAGCGAGCGCCAAGCAAACAAGGTAGCAGCCCCGGTGCACCTTGGCGAGCAGGGCCTTCCCTCCTAAAAGGAAGTTGTCTCCACACAGACCCGGAAGTGAGTGGCGTGGAGAGGGGAGGGGGGGAGCATTATTTGAACCGTCTCTCAGAAAACCGCCAACCGGCCATTCCCTCTTCTTGTCCTTGTTTAAAATCCCCACCTCCCTTGAGATAACCCGCGCTGAAGCTTCAGGGAGGGCTTCCATGGCGGCCAAGGAGACCAAACAGACCGGCCCGGGGAGGGGGTGGTGTCCTCTGTGGCGCCCCCGTGGATGAGGAGGGCAAGTGGGTGAAGGGTTGTCACTCGCGGCGCCCGCCTCCGGCGTCGAAACGCGGTCGCCATGGCAGCGGGCGCTCGCGAAGGCGAAAGGGGGCGTGGCCCACCCAGTCTTGCGGGACAAAAAAAGAGGGCTGCGATGGCAAGCGGCGGCCGCCAGTGGCGCTGTTTCGTCGTCTGCGGTTGGGAGGGCGCCGTAGAACGGAGCGCTGGGGCCTCGATTGCGGACGGTTGCTCTCGGCGGCGCGTGACAAAAGCGTGGCCGGCTTTTGCCAGGGCTTTTCGATCGGAGGGAGGAATTGGTTTCAGTTTATATGGCGTGAGGAACATCGTCCCGTTTTGGCTAGAAAAGGGCGGTCGCTCCAAAGGCCAATTGGAAAGAAAGTCAACCGAGAAGTTTTGACGATCAAAAGGCAGCGATGTCTGACGTGCGCTCGGGAAAAGGAGCCCGAAGGAGCTGCTTGGCTATCCCCAGGATTTCTTTCCCCAAATTCTTGATGTTATTGGAAGTTTACTAATAAGCAAATTTAGCCATTTTCAGACAATAGGAAGAAATAATATATAACGGCTAATGTAATTAAAAGCAACAGCCTACTGCTATAGCTAGAGATGTGAAATATCTGAAAATGCCCATTTTTTTCTAGAGAAAAATCTTTCTTTTTTCTTCCACTATAGCTAGAGATGTGAAATTTCTGAAAATGCCCATTTTTTTCTGGAGAAAAATCTTTTTTTCTTTTTTTTTGGAAAAAAAATGATTTTTTTTAATTTTTACATCTCTAACTCTTAACAGAAACACTCCTCTTCACTCTCCCTTCAGTTGAAGTTCAAGTTAGCTAAAAACCGTCACAATTGTTTAAAACCCTCCCCAGTTATTAAAGACTTTAAAATAGCACTGAAATTGAATATTGATTTTATTAATAATGCTATATATTATGATCAAATATTAAATTAAATAGTATTTATTTATTTCATAAACTTGTATATCACCTGATTAGTGCTGGGCACTCTCTTAGGCATCCTTCAATCTCGAGAGACTATGGTAACATGCTCTGCATGAGTGTCCTTTCCAGAGCACGAAGCCTGTGTAAAATAATATGGAGGATAGGCTGTTACCCAAGCAGAAAATCCCCCCTCTCCACGTCGCTGAAATTGTCCAATGGAAAGGCAAGAGCCAATACAACTGGTTCCAGCAACGTCGCAGGAGTTGACAGAATGACACAAACTGCCTTCGGGACTCTGGCTCCAGATTTTGCCTCGAGGTTAACTCCTGAAGCCTTTTCCATCAGTGGATATAGCCACAAGACACTACTCTGGGTGGTTTACATCAAAGGATATGTTAAAGGAAACAATGTATATAATATCCTCAAATAAAACAAAATAATTAGAAAATCAAGAGAAAACAATACAGCTATGTGTAGGACTAAGCAAACCCAAACAATGGTAAGATGGTGGTGAAAATCTAGAAGGCATTTAATCATATTAAATGTTTGCAGTGCCCCTAAAGCAGTGTTTTCCAACGTGGGGGGTTACAAAGTGTTTATTGAGGGGTCGTAGGTCGCTTTATATGTGTTGTAAAGGTAAAGGTTCCCCTTGACAAGTCATGTCTGACTCTAGGGGGTGGTGCTCATCCCCGTTTCCAAGCCATGGAGCCAGCATTTGTCCGTAGACAGCTTCTGTGATCACGTGGCCAGCATGACTAAACACAGAACACTGTTATCTTCCTACCGTAGTGGTACCCCTTGTTAAATTTCTTCCTTGGCACATATTAAAAGTAGTGTGTACGTATGAGAAACTGGTTCTTTGGTCCTTTCTGTGAAGGGATCAATTTATCTCATTAAAAATGCTTTTTATGCAAATGTGGCTGAGGGGGCACAGGTTACTTAGCTCTTATAAAAGGACTCAGCTCGGAAAAAGGTAGGGAGCTAGTGCCCTAAAGGCTTCTTCAAACTTCCTCTTAAAGACAGGGAGGGACAAGGTGGTGCTGCGGGTTAAACTGCAGAAGCCTCTGTGCTGCAAGGTCAGAAGACCAGCAATCGTAAGATCGAATCCACGCGATAGAGCTCCCGTCACTTGTCCCAACTCCTGCCAACCTAGCAGTTTGAAAGCATGTAAAAATGCCAGTAGATAAATAGGTACAACCTAGGTAGGAAGGCAATGGCGTTCCATGTCTAATCGCACTAGCTACGTGACCATGGAACCTGGACAAACACTGGCTGTATGGCTTGGAGATGGGGATGAGCACTGCGCCCTAGAATTGGGCATAACCAGACTAAATGTCAAAGGAAACCTTCAGGGAGCGAGGGCTCCAGGTGCAGCTCCACCCAGAACCCATTCCACAGAGATGGTGCCACAACCTAGAAGGCTCCATTTCTTTTTGATGTCTTTCTGACCTTGGAGTGGCAACTTGTTGAAGCATTACCTGTGCATATTGGATGACGTAGGCAGATGTTCTTTTGGAAAGACACTTTGATAAGTAGCAAAGTAACAAACTGAGGGCCTGGTCATATGGGGGTAATGTTTCCTAGTTCTTCCAATACTTTCCATACCCTTGTACTGAGTTTGTATCCTGGCAAGAAATTCTATTAGAACCGTTATGCTTGGCTACACCATGGTACCGGTTTATTTTTTTCTTGATTCAAGGGACAGTTTGGCCCCTTGATTTTTATATATAAAAACCTTGTTGATTGTTTCCAGCCCCTTTCATTCCAGTCGAATGGAACTCCATGGAGAGGGGCAGACTCGCACATGGGGTGTTGAAAATTAGAGGGTACTGTTACATACAGCACTGATGTTACCTGTCTGTCATGGGTTTGGAGGGAAAGTTCCATCCTATGGGGAGTGGAAGGCGGGACATCAGGAGGAGGGGCTGTACTGTATATATATGTGAAGCCTGCAATCACACATACCCAGTTATATTAGCATACCAACAATTCTAAGAATCGTCTTACAGAAATAAAAAATATTATTACTCATCAGTTATGTAATGGTTGTACCCCCACCAGTGACATACTTATACCAATGTATCAATGTATTGGGCACATATATCCCCTTACTGGGATTGCCTGTGTACACAACCTGCCCCACCTCACAGGCAACCCCAGTAAGGAATGCACCAGTACAACAAAGGTATAAAATAATACAGACCTCATGGCAATGTGGAAATGTTCTGCAGTTACACCACTGGGCAGGAAAATGTCTCTATCTTGACTGTGTGTCCCGTGACCAGGAAAAAAAAGTAACTGGGGGATAATTAGAGAACATTTGCCTCATGACCAGGGCCTGAGAAGAGCCTTGTGGTGCAGTGATTAAACCGCTGTACTGCAGCCAAAACTGTGTTCACGACCTGGGGTTCAATCCCAGGTAGTGGCTCAAGATTGACTCAGCTTTCTATCCTTCCGAGGTCGGTAAAATGAGTACCCAGCTTTTGGGGGGGGGGGGCAATGTGTAGCCTGCATAATTAACTTGTAAACCACCCAGAGAGTGCTTGAAGCGCTATGGGGCGGTATATAAGCAGCACGCTTTGCTTTATAGGTGAGAACCAAAACCTTCAACCTGGCCCAGAATACAATCAGAAACAAGATGTTTTCTTGAAGTGCATGTGCTCTGAGGAGATAGCACCAGTATCAGGTCACAGGAACAGGTTTGCACCATCACTGCTAGTAATTTTTCACTTAAATGTTGCAACTATTTAGGGGCGGAAGAGGAAGCGAGAACATGAATGGGAAAAGGAAAGATGATATTTAAGAAGATACTTCTCTTCATTGTTTCTTCAGATATGAACTGCTGACAAAACCAAAACAAAATCACCTGCAAAATGGGGCTTCAGAGCTGAAGAACCCTATGGCGTGCTATTGGCCAGGGAAGCAAGGGGCAGTTAGGTGTAACACTCCTGCAGTGAAAATGACAGGATACAACATGACCAAGACAATGGATCATCAAAATTACCCACTCCCTGTATTTTATATGATGGTTTTTGTTAGCCCAAGAACTGCTGGATGGAGCAGTAGCTTAGGCATCTGGCTGTGGAGCCAGAGGTTG